ACTACTACTACTACTACTACTACTACTACTACTACTAGTAGTACTACTACTACTACTACTACTACTACTACTACTACTACTACTACTACTACTACTTCTGCTGCTACTACTACTACTAATAATAATCATAATACTACCACTGCGAAAACCACTGCTGTTGTCACTGATGCTAGTGTTAGTGCTAGTGCTGGTGCCAGTGCTACTGCTGCTAAAACACTGCTGTTCTCACTGCTACTACTGCTAGTGCAAGCCCTATAAATAAACGTTTGAATAACTCTAAAAAATCCTCAACGCTGAGACCGCTAAGACTTGGCTTTGCACAGAATCGCTGGGAACACTGAGGGCAGCTGACCTCAGCTAGAAAGGCTTTCGGGGTCTAGGGCAGGGTTCGAGCGCTTCACGTTTCAGACGCGTTTGGGTTGAGGGTCCGAGAGGGTTTAGGGCTTAAGGTCTCGAGACTCGGACTTAAGGCTTTGAGGGCTTGCGCTCTTGGTTTCAGATTTACGTTTACAGTTTTCGAGGTTTAGGTTGGGACAGACATCAAGGGAGGAAGTCTCTTGCTTAAGAGTCGTCTGTAATCTCCACGAAGGTCCGAAACGAAACTCTGAGCTTTCAACACACAAGGTCTATGGCCAAGATACCCAGAACAGGTTGGAATTATTGATCAGGATAATCTGGCATTGTTTCAGGAAACAGGGGACCCCACAAAACCAAAGCAATGAAAGTGGTTTGGGCCTGATGCAGGAAGGCTGCTGTGAAGCTTCGTTCCCGTTCCCGGCTGTTTCGGGTCTCGGGGCATACTGCCGATCTACAAAGTCTTGCACTATCTTTCATGAAGTACCGTAACCCGCGGAAAATTATGAGGACAACCCTGCAAAGGTGCAAGCAAGAGTCATCGGCTTTCTCTTGGACCAGCGAGAGTGGCACCAGGACTTTGATACCTCAGAATAAACCGAGGCGATGAGCAACCTTCTCTGTTGTACTATGACTTGACACGGGATAACATATGTAGGACGGTAACATGGCGGCAATGAGGCAGTTCGGCGGGAGGCTGCTACCATGTCCACCTTCGTAGCGGAACGAAGCCTGACCCTTGTGAGGTGCTTTGGAAATATGCCACCCTGCAAAATCTGTCTAGAAGACTTTATACAGAACCGAAACAAATAGCCTTCACTACTAAACCCTGCACCTCTAAACCCTAACTCCGGTGGGACTGCACGAATGTTTAGGGATTGGGGGTTTGGGCCAAGAGTCCTTGGACGATTGGTTGAATGAAGGGCTTCGGGTTGTGGGCCTAGGAGTGGTCGGACAGAGCCAAATTGAGCTACGACGGCAAGCCCGAGCAACCCTCCAAAACCCTGAAGATTTGACACAGTTTCACGGAAGCTCAAATGTTGCTTCAAGGTACATGGATAGTTACGGGTAGGTCGATTGTTTGCAGAGTTACCCTAGCTACAATCCGACATACAAGCACCGGTGAAACAAGTACAGCTCCCGCACGAACATGTGCGCTCGGAACCCTGACCAACAGGACCCTTGTTCCAAGGATCACCCAAAGAAGCACCCACAATTCTCGAGACATCCCACATGTTGCTTGGATCGAGATGCATCCCGGGCTAGGGCAATTCACGAGCCGTTCGTCATCGCCAGGTTCAGGCTCGAATCGCTGCGCCTGCACGGCACGACTTACCTGGAGTTCATGGATAACTTACACGCGGGCGATAGATAAAGCAGCTCTTGCGAATACCTGCGAGTCTCCGAGCAAGAAAAGTTCCAAGAAACACGGGGTCCTCTGTTTGGAGCCTCGATGCTAATCATGATCTTTATCCCGAAGACTTTGTCATACTCGCCCAAAACGACATGCATCTATAGGCTACACATTCGCAGGCGGTTTAGCTCATAGATGGGAAGGTCGGCATAATGGGTGACCTTCCGCCAAGGGGACTCTTCGGTTGGGCTCCTAGCTAGACACCAAAGCTACACCTTGAAAGAACAACACTACACCCACGAGTAGGTTCCATCCGGTTCCTACCAGCCTGGAAATCCAAAAGCCGCTGGTAGACGTCGTCTCCCTTGGGCTGCAGACGAAGGAGCTCCTGGAGCTGGCTCTGACCAAAGCTTGAAGGTAGGGCCGCTAGGGTGTTGCGACTTCGTTTCGGGCTTGGCGTTCTGGCGTCTGGTCGATTAGGGAGTTCGGGTTCAGCATTTGGCATTCCGGGCTTTTGGCCCAAATCGGATCGAATTCAAAGTTTGGCTTATGAATACCACGAATTGCAGTTGCCTGACTTCTAAAGACTGGCCAGTTCCTCAAGCCTACAAAGGCTGCCTGCAAAACACGCCTAGGCCATTACACATGCTGGGACAGAGAGTCTCAAGTGGTGTTGCGACGTTCCGAGCCCTGTGGTGCTTTTTCTCGTGAGGGCTCAGGGTTTGAGGCGGAGGATTTGGGGCGGATCACACTCGCATGCCCCAGTCTGTCTGCGGACAAAGTTGGAAAAGCATTGCGAAACCGATGCTTTCGCATACTAGCAAGCTTTAACATGGCGTTACCGCTATGATGATATGCCCAGAAAAACGCAAAACAAAAATATGTTTCTGCGCCGAAATATTTGTCGAATGTAACAGCGAACTGTAACGGCAGGTGTGCTCTTTCACCCCAAGTGGGCACGACGCAGACTTGTGCGACAGAGTAAGTGGGGCAACCGAAGGTGATCGACCCAGGTTTTAGGTTCAGGGCTTAAGGCTAAGCGGGCTACGTTTTGACATACAAGTTCACCAACCTGTAAAGTAGAGCGAGCAAGCGTCCGCAAGGGCATTGGTCGCGATAGGTGTGCGGCAGGAGGGTAGAGGACAGGCAAGCTGATCGGCAGCAACTTTGCCCTGGTTCACCAGGCTCTCCACATACCTGGTTTTTGCAGAATCGGAGTTCGGGTTCGGGGTCAACCGAACCGAGGATCAGGGCGAGAGTGTTCTTCTGCATGCGACCCTATACCATGTTGAGCAGTGAAAAAAACTGGATAGATGAAGCTTCGGACGGTGCTGGCTCCGAATGGGTCTGTTGGGTTTAGGCTTGGACCTGGGAACATCACGAAACACAACCCCAAGCCCAACACCAGAGCAAAGGCCGTGGAGGACTGTCGAGGCTCTCGATCTTAGGGGGCTGTGGCACAATCGTTTGGTGCAGTGTCGGTGGTGCAAACGAACACCAATCCAAAAATGTATATTCCCAATCTTGGCCTGCTAAGTAAGACCTACGGACCTGGCTGCAGCCAGAGGGCCTCAGGAGACACTCTGCGCAAAGCACATGGTCGCAAGATAGCCTGGCTTGCCCCACCACGTCGTCCAGGCAGATGGGGCATGGCTGCCCGGGTTCTGGCACAGACTGGGAGTCATAGCCCTGGGCAGAGGCCGCGGCCTCAATTGCAGCTGCTCGCGCGCGTGAGCGCGCCCATCGAGCCATGAGAGCATCCTTCCACGGTGTCCAGAGAGCCGGACACCCCTTGATTAAAGCATATGTCACATGGCTTGAATTTAGAGGCACCACTTCTTCAAGGGCATGTATTGGGCTCTCTGCGAGGGGGGGTGTCTTGTGCAGTCTCTGAGCGTATTCCCCCTTCTACATGGAAAGCAGAAGGTTCAAACTGTCCAGCATTCAGGGGGTCCTTTGCTTTGCTGTCTGCATAATCTCAAGGATCTCTTCTTCGCAGAACCATTATAATCCAGACATATCGTGGCAATTCGCGGCTTGAGTGCCGGGGATAAGCGGCAGAGGAACACATAGTTTAGTAGAAGGGCAGTTGCGAACACATCGGGAAATAACAGGACCAAGCCGAGGAAAATTGGAATATGCATACATATATGTATGTACATATGCGCATGTACGTGTATGTACGACTATGTATGTGTTGTGTGTGTGTGCACGTATGTGTAAGTGCCTGGGTGGGAGCAGGTGCAGGCGTGTGTGTAGTTGCATGATGTATGTGCAGATGTGCATGGATATGTGTATGTGCATGCGTCTGTGTGTGAATGTCCACCTATGTATGTACGCATGTATGTGTGTATGAATGCATGTATCTGTGTATATGTGTGCGTGCAGGTACGTATGTACGTACGTATTCATGTAGGTATATGAGTATGTATGTATGTATGGATATCTGTCTGACAGACAGGGTTTATGGTTTAGGCACTTACACCATGCATGCCATAACACATACATGAAAGGATGACGAAAGAGAATGCATGAACTTCAGGACAAACCCCGAATGCGAGGAAATGCTGCATCGTCATGAGTTGAACAGGAACCTCAAGCCATTAGGTGATTGTCCGACTCAAACGCACACAAAAGGCCTCTTTGGCTAACCTCTCCTCATACAGAACCTGTAGACTGTAGATTAACCTCCACTGGAGACGATTGAATCAGAACGCCAATAGCTCACCCACATTTCTTCCTGGCGGGGCGTCTGAAACCTGCTTGTAAAGTAGGCTTTGTGTACATGGTATTCAGTGGAACCCTACATACACTCGCCAAATGCCAATTAAATACACCCTGAATTCCAGTTGCGAACCCGGAAGTGGACCAACCAACCTCTGGCCCAAACACTACTTGCAGGCCGAGGGGGGTACGCAGAACCCCATGTACAACTAAGTATGAGCCTCTACATCTCGAAAGCCCCTGAAAGCCGTAGCAACCCTAAATCCGAAAGCTTGACCTAAAGTCCTGAGCCCTGAACCCTACGAGTATGAGCACCAAGCAGAAGTTGAAAGGCCTGACCACAATGACTTTTTGTCTGCAGGCGCGCTGGCAAGCAAGGCGGTAGGGCACGTAGGAGAACAGGGTCTGACTCGTTGTTTAGAGGGGGGGTGATGGGCTTAGGATTTATTAGGCCATTATGGTTTGTGACTTGGCATCCTTTGTGTGGGAGAATAGAAGTTCAGATGTTGTACCTTTTCCCAATCCCACGAGCCCTGGTCCCGCCGTTCCGCTCAGACAAGGCGTCAGATCAGCGCGACCTGTCCGCAGGCTTGCGGGTTTGAGCAAAGCTCGTGTAATAAGCCAACCTACCGCCCAACATCCCCTCATCCGGACTGCAGGATTACTCGGGGATTAGAAGCCTCGAATAACGGCATAAATTCTTCGATACAGCCGGTTTGAAGTTGAAAGGCTTCTCAGGCTCGCCGGATATGCCTGCCCTACACCCTGACGCTCGATCTTGGCCGCCATACGCATATATCTTAGTCCTAAAGCTGTTTTGGAGGGCGGGGCCGCTTTCCAGGGGTTCCTTGTGCCGGGATCCTGCTATCAAGGGCTCTATTCAAAATTCGCATGCTTTCTGAACCTCCCATGCTCACACCACACACCCTCGTCCTAACTTCCCGGTCCCAAGCCTCTACAGCCTCTGTCCCTACAACCCCAAAAGAGCAAATCCTAAACCGCAGCGTTTGAGCCCACAACTTAACTCGCAAACGCTGTAGTAGGTCCGAACATATTTGGATCCAGGCTTTGAGTAGGCTGGCTTCGTGGCCCTGATCTCCAAGTGTCCGTATATCAAAGCCCCGAAGGGAGCAAGAGGATGTCCTTCGGCCCCACAGCATGTGTGCTTTGAGTACTTGGACCTAGATATGGTGATGCTGCCGATGAAGCAAACCCCCCCACCATCAAGAATCACGGAATGCACCGTGATTCAGACAGTTTCGAGAGTTGGAGGTGATGCAGGATGTTGTACATCGATCTGAGGCCTTGTTACAAACCCAAGAAAACGTGTTTTCTACCCTAAACTGTTTAGGGTTGGGTGTGGGGTCTGCTAGGGGTCTAGGGGTTCAGAATTTAGGGGGTTTCGGGTTCGGGGGTTTTGGGATTCATTTTGAGGTGTTCGGGCATCAGCCCTAGACTCCTAAACTCCCAAACACCCAACTCTTCGCGTCTGAACCCCTTAACCCAAAGCCCTAATCGCCTCCGAAGCCGCCCCGGAATTAGGGAACCGCTTCAATGCTACAGTGCGTTTGCAGAGTCCTGTAAACTCTTCCATTTTGATGTGTTGGGCTCGGTGGGTCTCAGTCGAGACTAATTACACGGTGTCGTTTTGAAGGTTCCAGGATTGCAAGGTGTTTCGAAAGGTTTCTGTCAGGTTCAGAAACTCATGGATCCTGATCATATATGGGCGCTGACACTGCCCTTGAATAGCATCCGCTCACACCCAAGACGGGGCAACATCTTCAATATGCCCCGATGACCTCCCCATAATTGAAAAATTGGTTCTCAGGTTTTAGGTGTGATGGTCTGAGATTGTGGTTTCATCTTCCAAGAACCGCATCTTTAAACTATGAACACCACGATGGGCTTAGGCTATTAGGGTCAAGGTACAAGCTTGGAGCAAAAGATCAGGGTTCGAATCCTCAGTTTTTATTGGCTAGTAGCGGGGTCGCAGGTGAAGGGCTCTCAACGTATTTATGCACAGGTACCTATGCAGGACGAGAAGGGGGAAAGAAAAGATCCCCAAAGTTCCACCTAGATAACCACACGCTCCCTTGCATACTGACCTACAGTTACTAGGTACTACTCTCTGACGCCCCAGTACTTGATTATCGGGTACCAGGACTGCGCGAACCCGAGCATCTCTGACTGCCTCGTGACACAGATGCATAGGTGTTCAGAGTGTACCCTAGGAGCCCATCCACGTGGTTGGTAGGCTACTGTCTTCGGGGCGGATGCAGAAACTCCTGTCTGACTGTAGGAACTATTTGAGTATCTGTGCTTCAAGCACCATAACGCCGACCACAGAGAGGGGTAGGGCCTTAGCAAATTGGGGTCCTTTGAACCATAAGGGGGTTCAGGGCTTTTGTTCGGGTTCAGGATTCCATGGGGATGCTCAGTCAAGCGCAGAAAACCGACCCAAGGAGAAGCAAGGCCTGGCTTCTTCCAGCATCTCCTCCCACCGCTTCAGGCGATCCTGCGTTTGATAACATCAATGTCAGTATCAGTATATATATATATATGTACATACATATATATATATATATATACATACATACATACATATATATATATATATATATATATATTTAATCGCCAGCGAGACGGTAGGGATGTGCTGATTATCATTCCTGCAGCCGCGTTTCCAAGCCTTGAAGCCAACAAGGCTGCTCAAGAAAACGCTTAGAAGTGTTGGAGTCGGTGGTCGAATAGAGCTGCCAGAACCGGGTCCTTGGGTGAGAGCGCTGGTCCCTTTTCCAACTCCGCCAGCTGGTTGACGGTGAGCTTCTTTCCACCCTCCTGCAAGTGTCACCAGTGCTCTGCTTGAGCGCATTTTGCAGGGAGGTTTATACGGGTTTACTGGCTGCTTTTTTTAAGGCAAGGAGTATCAGGATGGTGGTAAGGTAGCAGAGTAAGGGAAGCAGATTAGATACTATGTCTACTATGTGTCCCAAGCATGGCGACCGAAGCTAAACATCTTAACAGCAAGCCAGAAGAGCCTGCGTCGGACATCTAACAACGAATGGAGCTCATATGCAGGGTTCTGGAAAGTAGGTCCTCAGTGTTAGTCAAATTCTATCTAGGGCACCTTACTCTCCTACAGTGAACACCGACACGTTGGAAGGTGGGAAATAGAACGGTTGGTCCGGAACCGGACTTTTGCTACCGAAGGCTTCCGTGCACTCGCGACAAGATCACACACACTCTGGAGGATCTTCCAACGCTGCATGTTCGCGTGGTTTTGCATGCCAAACAGTAACCCCGCCTCCAGCCCCCCCTCCATAGAAAGTCTAAACCCCAAGCCCAAACCCCATTAGGCCCATCACCTCAACCGGATGCCGCAATGACAGGCGCCTGCATGTCTCTCTTCAGGGCACGCAGCTCCCGCTTGTTCATGATGTCCTGCAAGTATAGGTTAGCGTTTTCAGGTCTAGGGTTGTTGTTTCGACAGCATGTGACAGCTGCAACAAGAGCTGATGTAGTTTTGTGCTTTCTGCTAAGTGCTGTCATGGGATGCCATTGTAACCGTAGCTACATGGCTGCATAAGTACATCTGGGCTTTCGTAATGATATCGGTTCCTGAATTGTCGGCGAGCGAATGTCTTTGCTTGGTATTCCTGCTGCGTCCAGAGAATTGAACTAAGGTGCTCTGAAGGTGTGTATGCATCAGCATCAACAACCTTATGCATCTACAAAATGTAGATCTCTACACCCACTCAGCACCCCCTAAACCCAGAAGCCCCAAATTTACGTCGCCTTAATCCGAAATCCTAAACCACTCCACACCTAAAGACCCTAAGCCATAATACCCTGAAGCCTGCCTCCTCCTCATCCAGCTCCTCTTGCGTGTAGACCACGTCCTGCTGCAGACTTCAGAGCCCCTTTTCGTATGAACCATCGAGCTTCAAAGGAGTCTCAAGGGCTTCATGGGGCTTCTGAGGTTTGTTTTTCCGGTTTTGAAGGAGTTTGTACAGGGTTTGATAGGGTTTTGAAAGCTCTTTGAGGTTCAGGGTTACCCGACGGGTCGAAGTTTGCTTAGAAAACGCAAGTGCGGGTATCCTAATCCTGCGTTACTGTACTACCGTCGACGAGGCCCAGAAGAGGAGCCGACAGGTAAAGGTTGCACAGCAGTATGCCTTCAAAACAAACATTCTTAAACCCCTAAACCCTAAGCCCTAAGCGCTGCAGGATTCAACGGCCTAATCTCAAAACACCCAAACCCTGCAGGACCAGACCCAAAATCCAGAGGACTAACGCCCTAATCCCGAAAGCTCAACGATGCAAAACCCTCGAGCTAAACCCCAGATCCCTAAGACCCAAGCTCCAGAATCCACACAAGTACAAGTAAAAAGTAGAGCCACTGACCGCCTCGTTGGGATACTGTCGGCTCTTCTTGGGGGGAGGCTTTCGCCCAAAGAAGCTGCGGGGCTTCGGCACGTACCTTTGGCTTGCCAAAGCGCGGGCTGCAAAGACGAATAGATCGGGAAACTGTCAGATGTCTTCCTACAGTATGCTTGATATTGCTTGGTCGTTGCTGATCACTGGTTAGGGGCTTCTGGCTTCTAGGATACTTGGGGTTTGGATTCCGTCTACAATTAGATCTTCCTGGGTGCTCAACATTCGCACTCGAAGATCAGTTTTTGAAGGTACTACCGCTGCAAAGGGGTTAGTTTCCAATACCGTCCTATTCAAATGTCTTCGGTCCCTGAAACGATGCTCTGTAGGCTGGCAAGCCCGTGCACTACGGCTTAAGGATTCAGGCAACCGCGCTTTTCAGCGCAACTTGTAGCTAAGTAAATTAAGGAGTGTTTCAGAAAAGAAGGGACCCAGTACAGACCCGATCGGCAAACCCTGAATGCAAAAAGGAGTCTTGTAGTAAAGACCCCGGTTCCCGATTCAAAACTATAGTTGCCTAAGGGTAACATTAGAAGCCCGAAAAGAACACTGTAAACAGTTATCACTGACTTCTGCCCCCCCCCTCCGCAACCTCCCTGTAGGCATTGCAATGCTTGAAATATCTTTCTGAATCAGCAAACCCTGAAAGGCCAGATGCCAGCTCACAGTTCATGGGTAAGCTGGTACAGAAGGGTCAGAAGTGCAGCTAGCTCAGTCAACGCCTGGCTATAGCAACAGCAACTGCCAAGAAGTTGGAAACCGCAAACTACAGGCAATACCTGCACTGATCATGATCGTTAGCCATCATCGCTGCCGTGTGTCCAACTTTTGGGGCTTCTGCACTTGAAGCGCGCTAACTAGTTTGAACCCCGTCTCACAGGTACCTTGAATCTCCCAGCGAATGGTTTGGGCTACGACCACCAGGACCACTAAGTCAAGGACGACCACATCCATCAGGAGACGACGAGGGGAAACTACAAGGAGACCATCGTGACCACCCGGCGTATGCTTCCGCCCATAAAACGGACAAAAGTCTTCCCCAAGGCACTGGGCGGGATTCGGATATTTCGAGGCCGAGAGATTTCCCATGCGTTGGAATTTGCGATGAATCCATCCGCCTTTCCGGAGGCCGGCGACCGAGGAATCCTGTGGAAATAACGGGACAAGCTATGCACCGCGCCACAGCAAATCCACGCATGCGGGAACCTCCCGTGGAGCACGCCTCGTGTGAACACCGACCAACGGTCTTCCCTGAACATGTTGACTCCATAGTGTGTGTGTGTGTGTGTGTCTGTGTACCACAGTGTTCGGATCTTAAGGCAAAGCGGGACCCTAGTCAAACATCCTTTCGAACTTTGACTAGTGTGTGGCTGTGTCGTCGTCATCGTAGTAGCAGTAGGAGAAGCAGGAGTAGTACTAGTACTAGTACTAGTAGTAGTAGTAGTAGTAGTAGTAGTAGTAGTAGTAGTAGTAGTAGTAGTAGCAGGAGCAGGAGCAGAAGCAGGAGCAGTAGCAGTAGCAGTAGTAGTAGTAGTAGTAGTAGTAGTAGTAGTAGTAGCAGTAGTAGTAGTAGTAGTAGTAGTAGTAGTAGTAGTAGTTATTAGTATTCCTAGTCGTACTAGCAATAGCAGCAGTTAAGCCCCGCTGCCAATAGCAGAAGCTTCAAGAACAACCCCAGCAACCTTTGACCGGTTGTGCCGGGGATCGAACCTCATCCTGAATCACAATAGACCCGACCTGTAGGCCGCCGAAAACCTACTATATTTTTTGCTGTGTCAAAGCAAGGAAACCGTGATTGAAGACATTCGTTTTGTCATTGTCCTAACTATCACAAGCAGCGTATTCATTGATCATCAACGTCATCACACCCTCTTCCTCGCTCCATGGTCTTTTGATACGAGTGCCTCTAACAAGCTAACCTTAAACAAACGAAGATCTTCCAAATGAGCTAAATGCCAACTACTTTCAGTGAAAAAACAGCGATCCATCACACCACGACGAGGAGGCACTTGTCGCGGTAGTCCCAAAACACTTCCGGCAGCTCGTTCTGCCAGGGGCTTAAGCTGCTAAGTGAGCACGACCAAAGACCACTTTTTTCTTCATACACTTCATGCCACCTGAGGTGTGTGTACATGACATGTATTCAAGTCTTATACGTACCAGAAGCCCGTTTAGCAGTATGTTCACCAATGCCGTGTCACTTAAAACTTAACATCACCATGGGAAAGATCGTGTAGCAATCCCCTAGACTCAAACCCCCTTGCCTTCAGCGCATACATGGCATCCTCACGCTGCTCCGTGGCTATGAGGCCAAGCAGCATCGTGCCAAGCTGCGGGTCACAGAGCGAGGCCAGAGGGTACACGGTAGAGGTTTGAGCTTTAATTAGGTATAGTAGGGGTGTAGGGTTCCCAGGTCAACGGCTAATCCACTGTAACTTGCTGTACTCCTAGGTCCAATGCTACTTGCCCAAAGTCGCTTGTCTCTGAGTTTCAAGTCCAAGGTTCCTGAATCGAAGCTGTGGTTTGGAGTCCATACTCGTCCCAGCTGCACAACCAGGTAACACTTTGAGGACACGCTGAGTTTTCGCCGTCCAAGCGCTGCCTACTGTGCATGTCCCCGCTATGGATCCATACATGTCTGTGCTCACTTGTTCGCACGATGTGTAAACATATATGTGCGCGTGTGTGTGTGTGTATATATGTATCTACAGACACACATATGTCATACGATTGTATATATGTATATATATATACACATGCATATAGATATGTAGAAAGGTAAGCTGTGGAGGGTGATTGACCATGTTCACACCGCGATCCAGCGCAAGTCCATCTCAACTCTACACCGAAACAAGGACCCCTAATTGCTTCTAAATCAATTTCGGAAACATTGTAACCAGGCTATGCGTCGAGGTGACAGCTTACAGGAGCCCAAACAGCCCCCCATGATCATTCATTTGATCTCGGAGGTCCGGGCCATGTTCTTGAAGACCTGACCGTAGCCGCCTGCAGCCGATTGAGGATTGAAACTTGCACTGGTTTTTCTTCGAGCCTTGGGCTGCTGGTAACTCATGCTCTTCTTGCGATCTTAGCTATCATGACGACCTCATGTCTTTACCTTAATGTCTTCGTACTAAGACAACACAACCGGAGTGCTACTGCAAGTTTGCGGGTGCTTGAATTGGGCAACCGACTTCATGCTGGAGATCCGCGGATTCCGCAATGGAAGCTTCGACAATGCATCCTGCATTCCGCTATGTGTGCTTCATGGAAAGTAAAAGTTAGCAAGGATTAGATAGGGATGTGCATCCGATGCTGTTTCGAGCCGGCGTCCTAAGACGGCTTTGCTCGCAATCTCGACGGCGAGAAAGGCACTTCTCCAAGTCAAGACTCCCCACCATTGGAGTCTAGTCTAGCCACAGATACATCCAAGCGGAATAGCAAGACGAGCAGAAGAGTCTGAGCACCTCTGGCCAGCCGGGTTCAACATTGCAATGGCAGTGCGAAGTGAGATAAAGCTCTGCATGACGGACAAGCGAGCCTCGTGATGTCGCATGTACCCTCAACCCGGAACCCGGATTTTGTGCAACAAGCGATATGCGGTCTCTCTGCACTGAGGTCTTACAGTGCCTCTACGTGAGTCTTGAATCAACCTCAGGCTGTAGTGATTAGGGGTTTGGAGCTCGCCCAAACCCTCAATTACAAGCCGATAAATTGAAGATTCATTCCTGAACCCTGGACTCTAAAGCCAACATGAAAGCAGCTGGTGCCGCCTCTTCGCGTGGTGTAGTGGGCATGGGGTGAAAACAAGTCGTACCGGAGCTTGCGCCTGGAACAGAACCCTTCCCGCGAGAGTGATCAGGTGTATACGGGTTTGAGGTGCAGGGTCTTGGGTTTCGGCTTCCCACTGCCGCCACAATGAACTCCGAGCCCTGTACACCCTAAATCGCCTAGCCATCAAATCGAACTCTGAAACCTCGCTCCCCAACGCAAAACACGAACAGCAACTAGTAATCCAAGAGACCATGTTCGTTTAGGATACCTCCTGTCTTAGATTTGCAGCTGTCCGACTGTCCAGAGTCTGTGAACCGTGATTTGCACATCTCCTTACGGAACAAGTCTGAACGTCAAGACATTGGCATTCATCCCCTGAAGACACCGGCATTCGGGCTGCTCAGTGCTGCTATACTGCAACTCAAATCCGAGGTACGACCTGCATGCCTGCATGTTCTCTAACAAAAGCCCAAAACCCCAAACTCCTCACCTGTACATCCTCAATCCCAAAGTCCTAAACTCTGCGAAGGCTGAACCCAAACTCCTACACCGCAGACCCCCTAGATCTGAGGACTACGACTCCCCATCCATCCCTGCGCAGGTTCCAGCGCTTTCTTCCGCAAGCCAACTGTTCCGCTTGAGCAGAGTAGGTTTGTGGTTGCAGTTCTTCACCGCTGGTTCTGAGGTTCGTTTCGTGGGTATCATTGTCTCGAGATATATGGGTTGGGATGGTTGGGGATATGGGAATATGGTCCATAATCAGAGCACCCTATCAAACACTACCAGGCCCATCCTGCTAGAACCCCACTTTGAACCTCTTATGCTTTACACCTTGATCGAGTATCAGATTCAACAGTTCACTACCATACAGGTAAAGAGAGAAACCTGATGCCCAGATGGTGATATAGTTGGTGGTAAACAGAATCCTTCATCGCCGAAAGTAGGCCAAAATATGGAGACGCTTGTCAAGTCTTGATCAGTCTCAGGACCAATGCAACCTTCCGTCCATCAACAATAGAAAGCCCGCTTTGGAAACTTTCCCTGGCAATATGTATGTATATACATATATATATATATCCATATATGAATATGCACACAAACATTAAGATATACGTAGGCCTTCATGCATGTGTATGTGATGTTTTTCTGTATGTATAAGTGTTGGAACGGTGAATGGATGAACGGATGGATGAATGCATGGATGGATTGATGGATGGATGTGCGCACTTGTCGTATCGATATACCTCTCGGTCAAAAGGGACCCAGACGTAGGTCCATAGCTTTTAAATAAGCGATTTGCTATAGAAAAGGGCACATGGAGCCAGATATCGGATCGATACCGTGGAATTTCGCCGTAAACGCCTTCTGCAGAATCTGCGCTTCGAGGCTACGGTTGACACAAGCACGGGGTGTAGAGATTTTGACCAATAATGATAGGTTCAGCCTTGTAACTGGTTCTAGTTGCGTTTCGCTTGGTGTAATCCTGGGCGCACCTACCCACGAAACCCTATTTCTATACTCTAACGCCCTAAATTCCAAACGCACCAAGACGTAAGCTCCAAGATCAAACTCGACACGAAACCCACAAGGCACGGAACCTGAACACAGCGGTAGAACTTCTTGCAACCATGCACACATGTCCCTGCTTAGTGGCACGCGGACTTTGACAACAGAGAGATCGGCGCTGAAGTTTTTAGACTGCGTGTCTGGGGTTTGGACAGGGTTGGGGTTTCGACTAACCCGCCGCCGGCTTCAACAAGAAACGCGAAACAACAGGAATCGGGGACGCAGCAACCCCTACAATTCGAAGTTGAAACATCATCATCATCACCATGGCCTCATTCTGGCTAGTACGATGGGTTCTTGGACAGACACTCAGAAGTACGTTTACTGAGCAAGTCGAAAGAGCATGCACATGAGGTCTGTTATTTTCAATCCGTAAACCCAACTACCAATATCCTAAACGGCATAATCTGGAAACCGAAACCCCTTAACCCCGTTCATAGATCAAGACCATAAGCTCTCATAGATCCCTGGTCCAGGCCTTGATAGTCCTCAGAATGAAAACCTGAAAACGAGCACCTTCTAAATTATTTTGTGAACCCTTAATGCTTTAATAGACAACCTGACAAACAGGCATCGCTTTAAAGAGCCCTGATAGAAACTCAGAGCCCTGATAGAAACTCTAACGAAAGTGGTGAGCTGGAAGCTTGCATTGAGTGACCTCCTGCAAAGGCCCCAGCTTTTTTGGGTTCAGGGCTCAAGGCTTGGTATAAGGTTCAATGGCTTAGGGTTTAGGGTTTCGGTCATTTTTAGACTTCACGGTTTAACGTCCAAGGCTCAGGACAGCACCCAGAGAGCCCAATTCAACTATTGAGGGCTCTCCTCGCTGCGATTCAAGGTATACTCATCTGTTGAGCGGTATTTGGCTCTCTGGAAATTCATGCTTAAAGCCATGACTGCTGCTGGCCACAGCACCGGGCTGCAACTTGAGGTTATGAGCTTTGCTGCATCAAGGAAATGCGGAGAGGGTTTTTGGGGGGTTGATACTGTTTAAACTGTTATACTCGTAGAGAACAATCAGGAATAATAGTGCCAATGGTTCAAAACCCTCTATTCATCTACTAGGCCTGCCGGACTGCGGCCCGGATCAAGTGATCGAGAAGAAACCTTACTCTTGATCAAGACTACGAGGTCTGCGGCGCATGAGCTTCGAATCTTAAGAGCGAGGAGCCCCCAGTAGAGATATCAACAACCCGATACCTCAGACCGAAAGAAGAAGGATCTGATTAGGCACCTTGCAGATTATGGCCTTAGGGTGCGGCCCTAACCCTTCAACAACTCCAAAATTTCGAGGGCGTAGGGCCGACGCTTGTTGTTAGCGCTTAACAGGGGTTGGGCTTTCAGTGCAGAGACCGTAAGCCGCGTGCCAAGAAGAGCTACGGCATACGTAAGACTACGCAAGTTTGCTCACTTTCGATGGAGCACCGCATCGGCGGTGGGAGCATCCAGAGTCCGCACCCGTGCACCTCAGCAACGGTGAATTCTAGCATACCCGCAGACTAATTTTGTTGGTAGGGCCTTTCCTGCAAACCAATACACAACTGAAGTTATAGGGACCGTACTTAAGACTAGTTGAATAGTTCTTCCGAGTTGAATGATTCTCACTTCGAGGGCTTCGGGCATATGGACTACAGAAAAGACTAGTTTTGCCAGGTCAGGGTGCATGTTTGGGGTTCCATCCAGGTTGTATCAACGCAGGATTCAGGCTTGGCCGCATTAGACGTTTCCGTAAGAGCGGTCTCTGGACTTCCCTCTAATCGCAGTGGCCTCCCATACTCCAACGACAAAATACAAAGGCCGAGGGCCTCAAAACCCTGCGCCTACGCAAAGCCAACCTTTTTGAAGCCAGTACCAACCCCGTATAAAACCATGTACTAAAACTTGAACATAAATGAACTACACTCTATAAGCCTCTCTTCTACTGCTTGAAGCCCAAGAAAGATTTGCCAACTTGACAAGGAACCCCCTATACCCGACAGACCCAAAACCCTGCGATCTTGATGTAAGGGCAGGGTTTATAGTGTGTAAATAAAAATTATACATGTCAGACCACTCCACTTAAGGCCTTGAAAATCGAGGCACCGAAGCTCTGCGCCGGAGCAGCCTGCGCTGCAGCTTCGGCAGCAGCAGCCTTGTCCGGGGAGACTTTTGCTGTTCCTCAACGGGTTCTGGGTTCGCGGGCGTGAGGTGCCTTCTGGGTTCAGGGCCTGTGGTCGTCCAAGCATATCGCGATTTCGCATTGCTTTGGGGAGCTAAGTCTCGACCGTGTGCGGCCGTTCATTGTATTTGTCGCTGGTTTCGGGTACATTATGTCGCTTCGTACATAGTTCAGGCTCCTTTGCCAACTTGCATGTTCGTCTGCAAAGGAAAGCCAGCATGGCAACTTTCCGGCCGAACACGCAACCGTTTGACTTTGGGATACGGTGTTGGACGTGTGACCGGATCGAGGGCTGAGGGTTCCGGGGTTTCTGGGCTGCATAGGGTTTAGGGTTTTCTGACCATAAGCTACCAGAGCTTATTTCTTAGATGGGTCTCTGTCAACTCTGTACTAGGGCTTACACTCAGACCCGAGCAAGAAGAAATTGGCCACGCTAGCTGAATCTAAGGTTGAAGTTTTTTTTTGTATCTGCTTTTCCCTGTCAGACTGCTTCGAGAGAGTTGGGGCTCAGTTTTCGTTTCGAAATTTGGGGTTGTGGGCTTCCTGGCTCGGCGAGGTTCCGTGTTGTAGGATTTAAGGTTTAGACTAGACATTTTCGGGGGTGCAGCCTCAACACGTAACCATCCCACAGCTCCAAACACAAAACCCGAGCAGGCCAGACCTGGAGCCCCAAAGCCCAAAACCCCTCATGCATCAAGACCGCACTCCCCTTTTACCAGTAAACCCAGTAAGCCCTTCAAGCCATCACCATCCCAAAACCACGTGCAAGGCCCCGAAGACCCGCCCAGAGCCTGGCGCTTCCGAAGCCCGGCCAGCTCCTCACGCCTCTCCGCCAGCCCGTGGGAGGCCTGGAGGGCTCTTGTTGTGGTGGATTTGGGGGATTGTGGCGATGCAGAGGGTTTCAAGGGTTTAAGGTGTTGGGGTGGCTGCTTCTGACCCAAAGCCTGAAGCTTGGGACCCTTTCGTGGAGTAGCCGGCTGGGGGAACCATGGAAGCCAAGCGTCAACATCGTGAACCCCCAAGTTCCAAGAACTGCAAACTGACAATCGAAAGTCACAGCCTGACCCGAACACCTCTCCAACGCCCTATAAACTGTGCCCCGACAAACCCGACATCTTCCACTTCCCTGGCTCGAGAATTTTGAGCATTGTTTTAAGGGGCCAAACGGAATGAGACTCAAAGCTCAAAGTTTATCAGAATCGTAACGTTTCAGGCTCCTCGGGTCAACTGTGGACTTCGGCTGGACAAGCCCGAAGCCAAGACCCTCAAATCCAGCCCAAGCCGTAAAACCCAGTCTGCCGTTGAAGCCAAGCTGCTTCAGCAGAGAGGCCCTCATAGCCTGCAGCATCAGGCTTAAGGAACAAGTGCTTCAAACCCTAAACCCTAAGCCGAAGACTTGACCTTCCTTCGGGCTTGGGGTTCAGGATTGTGGTCTTGGGGGTTGGCTTTGGGGGTTTGGGGTTCAGGACTTGGTGATGATTGTATCAAACTCGCACGACTCGCGGCATTTCCTTAGCATACGGTGTCATGCCGGCCCTGAGGCAACGGGCACCAAACGCCGTCATTGCGGGCATATGTTTTGGAGGAACCATGAAGCCACATAAGGTGGGTCACATATCCAGAGCTCCAAACTCGTGGGCTACAAGACTCACGCAAATCCTGCCCGGCACTTCCTCCCACGGCGTGCGCCTATGAGCAGAGCAACCACGAAGCCTCGGTTCACCTGCAAAATTAAAATGAGCCAGTGTTGGGTCTAGGCCTAGGCTTTAGGATGCGAATTTCGTCCGAAAGGGTGGTTGAGACAACGATCTCTGGCAAGAGACCGTTGAGACAATTACATACGTGAGAGACGCATAGAGAAAGAGAGCAGCTATAGTCTGGCTGATAATAAAACTGATCAGTGTATAGATGCAGAAGCCCAAGCCTTCAATGGCTGTTTACTGCCTATCTGTAGAAAGAGGTAAAGGCAGGTAGAGCGATAGGTGGATGGATGGATGGATGGATGGATAAATGGATTGGATGGATCCAGAGCCTCTAACAGTAGATGGGGGCTTCTTAAACTTCGGGCTGCTCCCCGTAGCGACTGTCGCATGAAGGAAGCTACGCTGTGCTGTTCAGAAAAAGCCAACATGCTGAATCCTCAGAAGCCCAGCATGAAGGCATGTAAATGTGGTCGCTTTGGCCTACAACTACACGTACATCCATTAACCCCCGTTTTGGATTTTAAAACCACATGCCGCTCTGTCAAAGCACGAACCTGTTCCTCAAAAAGGCTGCAGCAACCTCAGAAACCCGACAACAACCTACAGGTTTAAACACGACTTGTGGAAACGCCCCTCTTGCCCCGTGTGCTAGCACTCGTCCCGGCCGTGTAGTCCAAGGCCGCACCGATGCCACAGAGGGCAGCCCCGGACCAGGCTAAGTCCTGACAAAGGTCGCCCAGAGTGCTTTATGGATTTGTTGTGCTTTGTAGGTTTTTGTCTTCGAATTGTTGTGTTGCAACCCATGGTGGTGGTTTATAAGATAAGTTCTGACAATGGCGCCTGACAATGGCGGGCAAACTGGAGCACCCCACAATCAAGGGATGAAGCTTTAAACACATATTGCGGAGTTCTTGATAGGACGTGATCGAGGCCGTAGTTGCAATAACTCACCCTGCAATAAGCACATGCAAACCTGCAAGGCATTCTATTAAAAGAAGAGCCACCGTTCCGTATATCCACTATTGTGGCTCCTAGCAGCTGTTGCTACTACTTGTGGCAGGTAGGTCGCAACTATAGTTGCAACCGACCTGTCACTCGCGGAACACTCCCAGCCCTCAGTTGAACCAGCGGGTGCCTCAAAGCCTACATCAAATCATATGAAACCCAAACCCCCAAACCACTGAAACCATACTGTCCGGATAATGAGCAATCATAAACAAAACCCCTGTATCATCCGTATAACCGCTATCATAATGTTGTTCCCCCACCACTCCCGAAACCAGTCTGAGTTTCAGAATCCAGGTTCCTGGGACTGGCGGGCGGCCCAGAAGCCCACGGCTTCACGCGCCAGGATGTCGGCCGCCTGATCCTCCCGAACAAAGGAAGCAAGCCTCCTTTTCTAGCCGACGACAGTCGAATTTTGAGGATAAATATGTGTGGGGACACCCCGTAGTTGAAACTTTGGCTCTGGAGCTTGGAAACAATCCTTTAACACCATAAAGGAGAAACACTTCAGGAAACCAGTGTATTGAAAGTAACCGGAACTTTGGGGCTACGATGATACGGCGCTAGAGATCCATGACGCTATGTTACGGGTTTGTACTTGAGGGGTTCAGCCTGCCGCATCGGGGTTGGGGGCTGGGCAGGCTTGGATAGCGGCTGCAGATTCAAACTTGCTTCCGGCTGTTGAGTTTGGAGTTGCTTAAACCTTCTAGGGCACACGTAATCCGATGTTGCATAATTCAAGCCAGCAGGCGGCCTACTGCCAAGCTCGCGAAACTTGAAAGCCACTTGCTGAATGCTTCGCCTTAGCCTTGAAGCTTCCGGGCCCTGTCGTATCCGACTCGATTTAAACAGTTTCAACACCACTGACAAAATACGAAGCAGCAAAACCTGACAGCTAAAACTATCAGTGCTCTCCACTTGAACTAGAACAACTTCCCTAAGGGTCCAATGGCCAGCGCTCGGGCCTCTGGATTAAGGATACCAGCAAGAACTTGTGAGATAGCACTCACTGCAGTATGTGACGACTAGCTACCTACTCAGACCGCCTTCAGGACCGAGTGACCGTCAAGTACGGGGCACTGCACGGAACCCTAACTCGAGGGATAATGTGCCCCTGAGTCTAAAACATAAAGAAACTTAACTTCTGGCGCGTGGATGTAGGTAGGGCTCAGGTCTGACAGGGTCTCTCGCCATTTAACATACATCTCGCCTTGTCGTCCGTTCGTGCGCCGCCGCCCATGGGCGTCCCCTGCGGCAGGGCTGGGGAGTCGTAGCCCTGCCCAGAAGTTTGCGTTCAGCGAAGGCGAAGCCCGAAAACTTTCACAAAATCCAACTTGTCCCTCACCGAAGAATAACCGTCTCTTGGGCGCCTCGAAGCTGGACATTGCAAACATACGAACATACGTGGGCTACAGAGCGAGCAGTACTCTGCTCTGGAGCCTAACATCTGAACCCTTCGGACTGACCGTCCAGCCCGCAAAGACCTCATTACCTAAATCAACTCCATGGTGTGTCCAGCCATGTCCCTTGTCAAGTGCAGGATGCTGTCCATCGGGAGCATCAATTTCAACGAGGTATTTGGACCTGTAGGCTCGCATCTGTACTCCGCGTCACCTACACTGAGCCAAAACCCCCTGACTAAGCAACATGGCCTAAATCATATACCTCTCGACTCTCTATGTCATTTGCAGTGTACCCTTGAATAAAGGGTTTTGGGCTAGAGGCTCTGGATAACCTCCGAAACCAGCCCTGAACCCCTACAATCACAAAAGCTCTAAAACCTAAACCTCAAAATCCTGAACCAAAAGTACCCTGAACCTTAACAGCCCGCACTCGCGAAACCCTAAAAGCGTGTAACTTCCCTTGATTTTTGCGGACAGGTATTCAATCTCTGGTGTGAAACCCTGAATAGACACCGCTGAGTACTGAAAAGCCCCTATGCCCAAACTGCCGCTCCGGTGAGCCTTCGCACCCGTTGAGGAGGTGAGGCCAAAGAGCCGCGGCAGTTCAGTCGATCGGAAGAAGAGCTGGGCGGCCGAAAAGCCTTTGCATTCCAGGGGTTTGCTAAAGTTTGGTAAGGTTGGTGTCAGTGGGGTAGAGATTAGGGATTCACGGGTACGGCTTTGAAGGTTGGCGATGGTAAGTTGAAGAGTTTGGGTCAAGGGGTTCTTCTGGTGTCGTCCGAGACATACGTCTTATGTTCTGTGCTTACCTTGGTTACTCAGGCTACTCAGGGGAACGCGCAAGACCGGGCAGGTTGTGGTTTGGTCTGATGCAGGGTTAGTGTCCGCACAGGTGCTGTTGCAATGGAAGTGTGCTAATATATTCAATTGTACAGTGTACACGAAGTCTGGCCTGGATGCTTTTCCCCTAGCCGGAAACTCGGAGACTTCAACTGAAACCCTTGACCTTTATCCTCTCCGTCTCCGGCTCTGCACCCCAAAGCCCAGAACCCACCACCCAACACGCTAAACCCAAAACTCCCAAAACTGGCGGCGCGAGACCCGAAAGCCTGCGCTCAACACCCTAAACTGACAAAACCCACCCCCTAGCATTATATGAGTAATTCAAGTTTTTCGACACAATCTCCAAGCCCCTAGGCCATCACAGTTAAAAGCCGTAGGTCGGCCTGGCGGTAAGGGCATCCGCCCCAAAACTTCCTGCACCTGCGCAGTCACAGCGGATTCTGGGTCTGTTATCATAACTGATGATGATCATGGGCTGGTCTTGGCATTGGAATGTTCCTTGGGTATGTTGGGCTTGGCCGACTAGGTTCTCTTTGACATCCATGCTGTGGCAATGAATGGGTCATTTAGGATTAGATGGCCTGCTTATGCGAGGAATCTGAAGATCAAAGGGAACCGTCCACAGTTCGAGACATATACTCCTTAACTACGGAGTCTTCGGCTCCGTGGAAGTATACATAAGTTCCAGCCGCCTTTCCAGTTGAGCTAGCTACCTGCTGTCTTTGGGCCTGGTCAAACACAGCGTAGAAACGACATTTGGCGCTAGAGTGCAAGTATCCAGGCAGAGTTGCGTACACGCCTCAAGCGCCTGGCAGGAAGACTCTCAACAAGTCTCACCAACCCGACCTACCCTAAGCCACACCGACAAGACACCACTCCACAAAGCCACACGAAGCACAATGGCTGCCGGGTTAAGGGCTTAAGTTTCAGGTTCCTTGAACTCAGACCTTACCCTACAGGCTCAAGTTTGTAATGATGCACTCCCCCGCAACCTAACTTACAAGATCTTGTCCCGAACCCGAACACCAAATCACTGGGTCCAGGGTCCTTTAAAGCACCTAAACATGTGTAAATTAAGCACGAACCCCGTCCCTGCATGCTGGCGAGACACCTCACTGGTGCGCAAGCGGAGGCGATCTGGCTTCAGTTTGCCCTGACGAGAAGAGTTCGGATGTTCAGTGATCTAAGGTGAAAGAGAGGATACTCTCAATCATATCAATGGCTGAGGGGTTGTAGGATTCAGGTTTTGGGTTCCCTGAGATAAGAGTCAAGGGTTCAGTTCAGATTCAGAGTTGAAGGTGCTCGACAGCCTAATTCGGCTCATGAGGAGTTCGAACAGCCCTTTGCAAGCTGTTGTTGTCCGGCCCTGGACGCTATACACCCAGCCTCCCGCTCCCGCACGCGCTGGGACTGTGCCAGGCTTCGAGCGGCAGCGCTGAGGCCCTCGTGGAGCACCAGGGGAAGATGAAGCCCGGACTCCTGGCTAACGCGCATGCTCCAAATAAGCACCTTACATGTCAGTGTGAATCCTCAAGAGTTTGGGGTTCTTTGGGCTCTGGGAGTTGTTCACGGGGTCAGACTGTTGGACGGTTCATGGCGAGATGTATTCTCCTGTAGTTTGCTGCAAGGATGATGCGCCTCAAGGCGTCACTAAGCCTGGCGTTGGGAGATAGTTAGATTAAGGGGGTCCGGCGGATAGTAGCACTAAGTACTAGGCCTTATGATCTTGCGAAACCACATCAGGAGTATGTGCAAACAGTTTAGTCAGATCCTCATGCCTAGACCTAGGTAGGCGCACAGATTGTACAAGTCAGAAACCCTACAAACGCTTTTAAAGCCCCTGCTTCTAGCCCGAACCTCGTTTCTCGTTCGGCTCCTTTACCCCCCAAATAGATCCATACGTCCTGTGTTTCATACGCTTGCATTCGAAGCCACTCACATCCCCCCCACCCCCACCCCCACCCCCGTCCACTCCCAAAAGACAACAAGCCGGAAGGCTCCTCGCGACGCTCGTGGATGCGGCTCTTCACCTCTGCCTCCAAGTTCCGCTCACGCGCCGAGGGCCGAACTCCTTCTGGTGGAGCCTCCGGGCTTTGGTAGGCTAATTAGGGTTCGGTAAGGTGTAGGGAGTAGGGTGTTAGGATAATATGACATCGTATGGGCCCCAAAAAGTATTTGAAGTGCTTTATCGGGGTTCGCGGCTAGGTGGGTCTAGCCAGCTCCTGAGAGCGAAGCAAAGAGCTTGATTTTCGTGACCACAACTTTAAACCCCTACCACCACCTGAACCCTTGTAACATCTTGTAACTGCAACCCCTGTGATTAAACCCGAAGTCCTGAGCGTTTTACTTCCAACCCCCCTCCCCTGCAAAAAAAAGCATCGCATCAGAGTGGGTGGGGCCTTGTAGAGCTCCAGTAGCTCCTGCAGGGAGGCCTCGCCACTGTTGCCCGCGGTATGCACGAACATGCAGACATGTATATACACACATACAAGACAGCTGCATGTGTACATCCATGCATGCATGCATGGATACATACCTGAGTTTCTGTGCATGCACATATGTATATACGTATATATGTACACAGGTGTATATGTATACATGGTTATATGGTTGTATACATATACACACGCGTATACATGTGTGTATACAGAAAAATGTATCTTACAACACGTTTATATGTATGTGTGTGTAGACATGTGCATGCATGTATGTATGAATATGTACACACATAGGTCTATATGCATGCGCAGATATGATTCTACGTGGCATGTCGCGCCTCCGACCATTTATCCATCCGTTAGTTCATCCATATCCATCCATCTACTCATTGATTGAATGCATGCATACACATGTACAGATTCAAACGCAAGTACAAATACATGCCCATATATCTGTATTGTACATATGCATGGCATGCATGCAGGCAGGCATGCATTCATACGTACACATACATGTTACATATGCACATACATATTGTACTCCTATTTTACATGGATGTACATACATATATGTATATACACACACAATTTCGCTCAAGTGTTCCTTCGTTAACCTTTGCAATCATCCACAGTGTCATAGTAGCAGTAGAATCTCAAGAAAATATAGAAAGATGCATGTACTGATAATATAGATAGGTAACTGGCTGGCCATAGTAGCTGGCTAGCTGGCTGGCTTGCCAGTTGCTGGAAATGCAGATGGACAGAAAGAAAGAAACATGACTAGACAACTGGTATCATATACATTTCTATTGTGGTATGCTGAACAGGCTATACATACATACATACATAAATACATACATACTTACATACATACATACATACATACACATGTGTACACATAAAACACACATGCATCTACACAAACACGTACGTACATACATACGTACATACATACATACATAAGCATCATCAACAACGCTATATATGCAGGTTCTGTATGGGCCATGAAACTTTCACAAGCTGCACGACATGTGCTGCAATGGCTTAGAGGTTTCGTCGTTTCTCAGGAGATCTGCGAAGGTGTTTCAAGAGCTGATAAGGGTTCTTAACATGCGCGCTCAAGGATTGCAGGTCAAGTCACCATTGAGGAAAGCCGCGTTTTTGTTGACACAAATGGCCAGATAGCAGCTTGAAAGCCCACAACAACAAAATCAACTCTTGCAGAAGCCCTTAGATTTCGCGCTACGCAAACCCCGTAATCCCTAGAATCCCAACTCACTCCACGTAGAGTCCCGGACCTCAATCTTTGTCTTGAAATGCTTGAAGTCTTGAAATTAGCCGAATCCTGACTTCATCCTTCGCAGATAAATGACCTTGCCGTGTAGGGCCTAAGGAATTGCAGGGTGAAGAGTTTGTGTTTAGGGCGACATTCACTGACATTCACACTGATGACTCCTCCCAGAAGAGCGTCAATGGAAGCTCCCAAAGAGGTGACTTCAACCTGGTTTCCGGAATCTGGCGGCACGAAACACCGCATGCTCCCGACTCAAGCCAGTTTTCATTGATAGGCTTATACTGCTACAGCCGCGCCGAAGGATTTGTGCAGCAAGCTTTTCCCCTCAAGCTCTATCTATGTGCAAAGAACGGAACCTTTATTAGCGCTGAAGCGGATGGAACGCATCCGGCCCTTGCAGCAGACCTCGTCTGGCTTCGGCGCCACTGCAGCGTTGCTTGACTGCGCCCAGCGGTGCGTGCCCCGCAGCCTGCCAACAAGAGCAGGCTTCGGTGTGGTGGTGGTGGTGGTGGTCGTGGTGGTGCCTGCGCTATCAAAGAGCCAGATTGAGTCAACAGCCTGTTTTCCGCGGGGAATAAGAGGGTGGCGGTGAGTGGAAGGAATCACAGGGAATCTTTGATCCGAACAGGCAGAGCAGATCGCTCAACACTTCTCCTGACACCCAGTCAACTAGTCATAGTTCGCATCCAGCAGCTAGATAGGAAAACATGCTGCCACCACAGCTGAAAGTCAACTGACAGTAGCTAAGCCATATTGACCCTTCTGCCTCTGCAACTCTGCGAAGCGGCGCAAGCAAAGCCGCACCGTCAGTGCACGCAGGCGAATCGAAGGGTTGGTGTGATCCAATACCCAGACAGCGCCTGCAGAGCATGCAGTGGAGTTGTCCAGCGTGTCGGTTTGGTGTGAAAACCATTAACTGATTGTTCTGTTTCTGTTCAATCCCATCGTTCTACAGGGACCCATGAGGAGCATCCGGTCTGAGGATCCTCTGCATAGCTGCAGCTGCTGGTGACATGGGGTCGACCACACGGACCCACAAGCCCACAACCCTAATCCTACAATGTAGCAGTAGAGGCAGGGGTTAAGCTATGTTAAGGGCCTGCGAGATCGAGGATTTGGCATCCTCTTTTGGGTCACTAAACTTCGAATTCCATGTTTGCCTGGCTTTCCGCTTGTCCCGTCGGTGTCCCGGCGCTCAAAGCCGGCGTGGGCCAACAGCGACTGAAGCGGATTGTCGCGGCCTCTTGCGATTAACGGTTCGGGGTGGCAGTGCATTATTGGATACTTGTTGCAGCATTTCTGGATCATGAGCTCGCTTCCAAAAGGGCTCCGAGGTTTACAGTTCGAGGAACCGAATCCGAAGCTTAGGCAAGACAGAGGGTTTCGGCGTTTCCTGGGACGAGGAGCTGATTCGATCCGTTTGACTTGCCAGCATAGGGAAAGGATCTTATATGCACTCAACCCTGAGGGTCCACTCACACCAGAACTAGGTACGCGAGTTTAGGATGCTTGCTGCTGCAGATTGGTGTTTAGGGCAGCATAAGATTACGTGGGATGTATGCTGACACATGCTAATGGCTTCCTCTAGAAGGACCCAGGATCTGGTCCGGTCACCCAAATCGCTGACCTCGCATGCCCTCGGAAGGCTAACCTTTAACATGCCCTAGCACTACATCAACCCCCGAAGTGTTCGACGGTATCTGCTAAGTAGCTACAGGGCTACTAAAGAAAAAGAAATACCACCAACAAGTAGTAGTTGTAGGATCCTGTTTTCGGGGCGTATAGGATTACTAGGCGCTGGACCGCCGGGGAACCCTGAACCCACCGGAAGCCTCCGAAGCTCTTGGCGAAGCCCTCGCTGTCCTCCCTCATCTGGGACAAACGGCCCAAGTCATCTGTAGCCCATGCCTCTGTGTATGAGCCCCAGGATAACTTGGAATGGGACTGGTCTGGACGGTTGGTTCCCTGCAAGACGGCTGCTACTGAACGTTGGCAGCCGTCTGTGGTATCCGGGAACTGCAACACATTGGAAAGGACCGGATTGGGTTATCATGTTGAAGTTGCTTATGATGCTGCATTGACCTCCCCAAGAGTCTTTAGTGCTCTGTTTGTGAGTACACGGCTTACATTCTGATTTGGGTTTTCTGGTAAGGCTGGTGGGAAACTGCGCGCTAAGCCGTGCGGCCGTGTTTCTCGTCTTCCGAAGATTTCGGCTCAAGCTTCGGTTGAAACTGTCGGTGCTTGGGGCTCGCAGCACGTAGAAGTTTGGCTTCCAGCGCTTGTCGAGACCCATGCACTCAATGTATCTTGGGAGGAAAGCTGTTCTCCGAATTAGGATCCCTTTCCAAGCCGGTCAACTCCAAATACCCCAGGTTTGCGAATCCCAGTCGCTTGGAAGAGACGGTCCAAGATATTCCCGATGGCGTGGAGGCCCGTGACCGCAGCCGTAAACTGCTCCCCCAGGGGTGGCACCTCCAGAACCTCCACAGAACCCCGGCTGGACAAGGTTTACAAAGCCTCATAAAGTGCTTGAAGGGCTTATTGAACCGAAGGGCTTCACAGACGTTGTATTTAAGCTTTCCGGCTTGAACGATGTTGGGCAAGTCTTGACCATCTGACGGAAGAGTTGAAGGTTCAGGACCTCAGGCGTTTGGATAGTTGGTCCCGGCCAGCGGCTACCTGTGAACCAGACGGCCTCTTGAAGCGCAGAGACGATTGGTTCTCAGGGCTGACGCTTTGGGTGCAAAAACTTGTGAGCCCAGTTGTTAGCACGATTTGGACACCGCAAGCGGATGGATCCAGCGACGGCCCCGTAGGCCTTGGATACCTCAACCCTAGAACCCTTCAAGAACCCAAGCAGAATCCGACTTAAGAAGATAGCCCAAACCAATCGACACTCTGCTCAACTGTACGACAGGCACGAGAGGTATTTATTTTTTCGAACTAATCAAGAGGGGCTGCAGGCACCGTCCATGTCGATGTATGCTTTCGAGGGCTGAGAGCTGAAGGTGATCGCAGCTCGAGTCCCACCTTACAAGCCCGCCACAGTCAACTCCTGAGTCCTGAACTCCGCATTTCGAAACCGTAAGCTGCACTGAAGCCCATCTGTGTCGTATTCAGAGGAACCCAAGAAAACGTCATTTAAGATTATGACTTTAAGCGACATACAGTCTTCATGGACTCGCACATCTGGGATCCTTTTGCCCCTCTCCAATCTCACTTGCAGAAACACATGCCTGACTAGTGAAAGTTAAGCAGAAAACCTCTGTATTTACGTATGTATGTATACATATATGATACATGTATTGACTCAGCGTGTGTGCGTGTCCCCAAGAACAAATCAAGCAACAAGCAGGACGCCTTCTCCATCAAACCACAAGCCTGCGCGTAGCTTTCCCGGAAGACCGTCAGAGGATCGAAACCCAGGTCAGGTCTCGCGGGAGCATTGGCTGCGGTGCTTGCGAGTTCCGGACTTCCACATGCTGTAAGCCCAAGACCCCGAAAACCTAAACCTTAAATTAGAGCACACATCAAGCAGTGAGACTGTGACGGTGCGAGCGTGATCCTGATGAGTTCATAAACGGTCGGAATTCAGGCCCCAAGGCTTGTGGGCTCTAGCGTAGCTGTAAGTTGCAAGGTTTGGGCTATAGGCTTAAGGGGTCTGACAGCTTTGGGCTTGGAGGGTCGGGGTCGAAACTGGAAGGTTGATTGGGATGTCCTGGGCCTTGCTTGAAGCTTTATGCACAGTTGTCAGCTATCTTAAGCCCAAAATGGGGACGAGAGAAAAGTGGCATACACAGTCAGCTAGCCTGGTTGTAAGTACCTGGCTCCAACCGGTTATGAGTGCAATTACATACTTTGCTTCGAACTAACCCGTGAAAGCCAGCCTGACACCTCTATACGGAAAGCTGCAAAGAAAGCCTCCCGTATAAAGGCCTTAGGAGGTCTTCAACGTCGCTCTCTGGTTCCTCGCGGAGCCGCGCTTGCGGGTGCAGGGGGGTGAAGGGTTGTATCAGGGTGCTACAGTGCTTCGTAAAGGTGTTGTTTAAGAGCTTACGACGTGCACTGCTGCACGACAGCATTGAAGACCCTCACCTTCAGGCTCTAAGGATGTGTTACAACTATTGCGTTCCCGAGGACTTTTTTGAGTTCTTGTGTGATATGTTATGTTGAGTCGAACAGACGGAAGTGTATAAGATTTAGGACATTTGTTATCGGTTGGGGTGACCAGCCAGCAACGGTCCCTGTCGAACCACAAAGAAGGCAAGCCCATGAATGCATAAGGAACGCAAAAAAAAGGGCCCTCCTGCCGCCCTCCCTCTCCAGGCTTTCCCCCCCCGCCCCCCCCCGTCCTCGCCCTTGATGCCGGCTGCAAGAATGGACGCAGCAGCTGCTCGCTCTTCGGCGCTGGGAGGGGGTGGTGCTTGACGCTCCTGTTGCCAGCCTTGGGTGGAGAGGGACCCAGCAGCGACATCACCTTTTGTAAATTAGGTTCCAGTCTTCGGTCCTCCATGCAGAAGCCTTGCATTGTGATGGCCCAAAGCCTGTATAGGACTGTAAATAGTCAAAGGTTATGGAAGCAACAAGTTCAGTTCCTAAAAGCCCCGCAAAACGGAAGCCCTAGCTTTTTTTTACAGAAGCCTACGTGTGAACACGCAAAGATTTGTAATCTAAAACGTCGAAATATTATCTAGCAATCAAAGTTTCCCACAAAAACTGACCCATAATGTCCACTATCCTGAGTCCTGAAGCTAGAGCTTTTATTATTGGGCATTTGGACCTGGGCGGTCTTACCAGGACGTGCCAGAACAGCGTTGTTGCAAAACACAGGCTCGGCGACCATGAGCTAGTCGACTCTTCTGTGGTCCGATTACACAGACTAGCGATGAAGAGTTGGCCAATGCGGGCCAATGCCGCTCACAAAAAAGTCTTTGCATACGCGCCCGTGAGGTGTGAGGTGAACAGCAAGATAAGATGTGCAGGTATATGGTGTAAACAGCACAATAGACATATTAACCGGGGCTGGTCACCAAGACGTGGGCAAACACGAACGTATAACGACATGCAAAACCACATCAAGGCACAAAAAGGTCAAACATAGACAAACACGAGCCCAGATTCGCTGTATGTTCAGCATGTAGATACTGTATGTGTTTGCACTATATTGAGCCCATTGGCTGCACACACATGTATGTGCATACGTGTGCATGTTGATATATATATATATATACATATGTATACACACATATAGATATAGAAAGAAGGAAAGATATGTAGATATATAGATAGATAGATAGATCGATAGGTAGATGGAGAGACTAGCAAGATCCCAGCCTATCGTGTTAAAACAGAAAGCTTCAAAACTCGGACCTGCAGTGCGACGCTTTCTGTGTGTGTATATATGCATAAATGTGTGTGTGTGTATATATATATATATATAGATGTATCATTTCTGATCCAGCCATCAGGATTGGTGTTCAACTGGAGATCGTCCCGCTTCAGATTCTAGCATTTCAATATAAACAACCCTGGGTAAAGGGGCTTCGGGTTTCAGATTTTACGGATTGAGGTTTGCGGTTTCAGGATCAACTTATTGAGAGAGTCCACATACATGATAACCATATACTCTCGCAAATACCTGCCTGGCTACAACTACCATATTTCAACCCTTATACGTCGACGGTAACTGGCATTCAATAATGGGCAAGTTTCGCTCCAGCCATGGCCATAGCCACCAGAGCGCGGCGGCCGCAAGGACCAGGAGCCAGATGAAAGGCGGCGCTTCCTCGGCCGGTTATGGATCCTAAGGAGCCCGCTGCGGCCCTGAACTGCAAGACGTCTGGTATGTGCCTTAGTCTGGAAAATGCATGATTGTTTTCTAATCGAAAAGTATGTCAAGAATTGGGCTATGTTGAGCCTGAGTTGTACCTGTGAAACCCTGAACCTGGCTTCATGTTCAAGGTTTGGGGGATTGGATTTGCTGTTTCGGGGTTGCAGACACTTGGCATACCTTATGTAAGCGTCCATACAACGAGCAGCCTATTGTTCGGCTTATGTCTTGTTACAGCGCCTCGGTTCTTTGAAGCTCCCATGAAACTGTTGAGGTCACGGGTCGAAGGGATGTAAAGCCCTTATGCGGTGCTGGGCTCCTTTCAGCCCGAAACTTCAAAGATACAGCATCCTGCCCAAGACCAGAACCTCGCATTCCCAGACACCAGTTCCCAATCTGCAAACGCTTAGTCATACCCTAAGGCCTTCAGGGCCATGAACTCCTGCATCACCCTAAAATTGTCAACCCTGAACTCCTCATTTCCAAGTCCTATCTTCATTTTCCCTTACGACATCAGTTTTAGTTGCTTTTACCCAGTTTCGCCAGGGATTGGGTTCGGTGGGCTGCCTTGACCCGCCTCCATGGCCCGGAACAAAGCCACTTGGCCGGCTCGCTCTGTAGCGTCCCACAGCGTTTTGTAGCTTTTGTTGTGGGGACTTTGTAGTGTTCTGTAGAGTTGCAGGAGATTTTCGTTCTATGACCCCGCAGAATGGCTACGAGTCGGAAAGGAAGCAGCATGATTCCCATTTGGGCATTCCGACACAAGTTGCTTGGCTGATTCGTGCATGTGATTCGTCATTCCACTTGCCTTACGCGTTAAGTCATAGTATAAGCCCCAAAAGGAGCCAGAGTCTACTGGTATTGCCTCTACGTTACTCAAAGGGAGTAGCAGCCGTTTCAGGCTAAGAGTTGAGGGGGCTCCGTGCATAAAAGCTTTGAGACTTCACGGAATCTGAAGGATTGAAACCTTCGGATTCGGACGGCTGGATTGAGACACCTTGGCTGCAGTGTGCCATCTGTGCCTGCTTCTTCCTGTGAGCAGCAGGTCACATGCCAGACTCGGGCTGAGAAGGCAAGACCGGAGGGTGAATTGGGGGGTTTGCTTGCGGGCTGATGAAGGTTTTCTTGATGTCTAGGGATTTTGGCGTTCTTTGTAGGGACCAGTGGAATATCGGAAGGCTGGATTCAGGCGCCCAGGGGGCAGTCAGCGTATACCCAGCGGCCCATACCCTGGAAAATGGTGCACGCTTCTGAATCGTAAACCCGCATCCAATTCCAAAAACCCTCAACCCTGTAAATCCTTCGGCCATTCTACTTCCTGTGGCCTTCAAGTCAAGCAATGCGACAAGGCTTGAGGTACCCCATGCCTGTTTTCTAAGGCCCGGACTGTGTTCTCACAGCACGGAACAAGTTTCAACTCAATATTCCAAACCGGCCAATAATGCAGACTCAAAAGAGGATCGAGGACCCTTTACACTGAACACGATGACCCAGACTCTCGACAGTTGGACTCCTCCAGACCCTCGGATAGAACAAACCTGTCGAAAGCCTGAACACCTGCATTCTCCGAGCGCGCCTCAGGTACCGAGTTCGACTCTGACGATGAGTCTCCGAGTCGACCTCGCCCGCAGTTTCAGGGCGTCGAGGGCGTCGGAGTTTATTCGAAGGGTTCGAGAATCCAAGTTGGCATCGGATTCAGCTCTAAGCCGGCAACCCAAGCCCCAAACGCAAACACTAACCAACTTTCGGATGATCCTGAAGTATCGTTTGAGGGCTTCAGAGTGGTGCCTTTGCAGGGTTCAGGGTCTTGCTGTTTTGTCTTGTCCGATCCGACTTGCGACATGCTCCGGTGGACAGGGTTTAGGCTCAACAATCAGGTGGAAAACAAGAAGGAAGTATTCGGGGAGGGGAGCAACAGGGGATGCAATGAGAAATCTTACTGTAAGGACTCTGGCCCGAGGGACTATCTATGATTCGGCACATTTACTTGCATTGCTCTTGTGCTCAGGTGTAAATCCTGCCACATCTTATCGAAAGGCCTATGTAACCCCTAGGCCTGCAGCCTATTTGCCAAGTGCCTGATCCCTGAAATAGCGACAAACCAAGATCGACTAGCAACACTGCCTTGTCGTCCTTGGTGAAGACGAGCAACGTCGGGATGCCATGCTCCCTGTCATGCTCGAGGCTTTTTGTTAACCTTGTCCTTGTCGGTCTGAGGGTTCCGGGCTACTTGCAAAAAAGGCATCGAGAAGAGTGGTTTGGGCCTATGGGTACAGAAGCAGGGTTTCCGGCACAGCAAACATATGTGTAGATAGACTTTGAGAGAACCCCACTATACCCAGGAAGCAACCGGAAGCGCAAGCCGCCTTCAGCCGTCAACCGTTCGGCCTAAACCCGGCCCTAAACAAGACCCGCAGGCCTGGCATTTTGGCATCAAACTAGAGCCAGGCCGTCAGACCTTCCGGTCGGGGTCAGGGCCGGTCACCCCGAAGGGTTTACCTTAAGCTTTTGCGGGGCAGAAAGCGAGGCGGAGTTCACTTCAGCATGTTCAGGGTCTCCAAGTCTGCGTCGGTCACCTCAAGGCCACTTTTGCTTCAGCCCTTGAGGTATCTGTGCGTATTTCTGCAACAAGCATATGCATGACTGAAGGCTTCTATCTCGATCTTAGTCTTAACCCTATCCATCTATTCATGCTCGAGCCCTACGGGCTATGAATAGTGAAGGGAAAGCCTTGGAGGCAAAGGGTGTGGGCTTGCGGTTCGGCGACTCAGCAGGGGAACCCGAAGTAATGATGGTGTTGTCTACCTGCCTCCCTGCAAGCTCAACACTATTAATCAAGACTTTCGGGCTGGCATCCAATTGATGTAGACCCGAAGGGATGCTGGCTGACAAGCGGGCCCGAGATTTTAGACTCTAAATGTCAGAAACTCCCAGCTAGGTCGTGAAACTCGGACCCGAGTCTGAGCTCTTACAGAAGCTGCGGGGTTCAGTTTTCCTACATGTTTCCACTTCATCCACCAGAGGCAGCTCGGCTATTTTGCCGAATCCCTCGATCTCGATTCGAAGACTCGCACCCTCAATGGAACTCAGGAGCGGGCATCTTTGCCGATGTCATGGACGTAGATGGCAGCCCTGAGCCAGTGTGTGGTCTTGAGGTACTCCTGCACAGTGCGGGATTTGAAGGCTCACTGCTTTCACAAGTGGCCTCAAGGTTTGGCATCCAGTAGGGTCCTACCTGAGTCCTACCTCCAGTGAATGTAGCTATGCTACCCTAAAGCCAAAAAACACCCACATGCCCCTGCAAGATGACCTGAACCAGCAAGGCAGCTCTCCTCAACCAAAGGCTTCCATTGGGAATCCCACTTGTTGTGGATTTCCTGCGCCACCTGCGTTCAGGGTATAAATGTTGGCGTAAGGGTTTAGTTATGTGCGAGTATGCAAATTTTACAGGCATGTCCTTGCTGATTCCTTCTTGGGACTCCAACCCTAAACTCCAAGAGGGCCGTAAACCGCCAGTATGTGAGTCGAAGGGTATGCAATTTCTGCACCGGTGTCCTAGGATGGAAGTGCCACATGAAGCAGGGTTTTGCCGCATAAGGACATGCACCCATGCTCTCACCACCATGCGAAAGAGTCCTGCATACATTCGCAGAAACCCCGGCAGAAGGCTGAAACATGGTCCTCATGAGGTTTAGCAAGGTTTTGTGAAGGCGAATGACCATTCACGGGATTCTTCAATTTTGGACAGGGGCCAAAATAGTTTGACTGTAATCAATGCATGAGTAGCTATCTGAATTTGGTCTCTTCGGCCCTGATGCTGGAGTGAGATTCTCAAACCACCGCCAAAACTCACTTGGGGCACTACTCAGAAAAATTCAGAAACGGCAACAAAGGAAACGGGAGAACGAAGCAGACAACCCATGATCTAATAAAGGTGCTTATCCGGACCCGTGACCATCCCGAGAGTAGACCTTCAGCCAGATCAGGGTCCTCATTTTGATTCACATACAAAGCCGTTACCCAAGGGTTCAGAGCAGCACGCCTGAAGTGCGGAACTAGGCTGCGAGGGGCTCTTCGAATGTATGGTTGGCCGCTTAGTGCTGAGTACGTGCCGAAGCCTCACAACCAAAAAGCACCATCGTAGAGGAAAACATCACCAAAAACATGTCTAAGATGACTCACACCATCCGTAATCCCTATATAACAAAGCCCAAGCCACGAAACCTTGTCACCAGACTGCGCAACAACCCAAAGCCAACGCATCCCCTACTCCCAAACACGCAACAACCTAGGCCCCAATCCTTAGACCCAAAGACCAAAGTAGCCTCGTGTCTGCGATCGTTCTTGCCGTAACCCGGCATATCTGCGATCGTAAAGCGGCGGTTGAGGCAGTAGACTTGCACACCCTGGCAGGACAATTATAGCTAGCGCTTGGCCATGGTAACTGTAGGGTATCTTCAGTATGTCACGAGGTTGATCCAAGGCGTTTTGAGGCTTCACAAGGCTTGCAGGGCTGAGAGCTTGAAGGTTGATCCTTCTGAAGAGTTTCATGCAATCAGACCCTACTGTACGAAATTCAGAGCAAACCTATATATTAGTAGCTAGGAATTACCACGGGCCGGGGGCAAATGCTCTCATAAACCTCTAGACGATGAACCCAAACCCTGAAGCCCGAACTCAAGCCCAAAAGGAGTTGAGGCCTTACCTGGGGTTCGGGATTCAAGGATTGCAGGTCCGAGTGTGGGATTCAGGGAGTCTATGGGGGCGAGGGATGGGCTTATTGAAGTTTAAGCGTTCGTAGCCCGGGTATTCACGATGGCACTGCTGACAGGGATAGCTTGCAACTTCATGCGTCTTAAGGAGCTTACCTTGAGGCTCTCGAGAATCCTCGTTGCGACCGGTAATTTCTCAAGCGGTATACATAGCCTTCACAATACCTTGCATCCCAAAGCCCTGTACATGTCCGTCGTTGTCCTCAATGTGGCCTGCAAGCCGAAAAACTGGCTGACCTTCTAAGCCTGAAAACCACTGTAACGTCCCCAACAGTCGACAAGCCTTGGTCTTTCCAGGAGTCTGGGCGACGGAGAAATGGCCTCAACCAGTTGAAGGTTTATCTCTAGCTGTAGATATAATTATGATTCAGGATAAAGTCTGAGTGCCTGAAGTGTGGGGAAACCAAACTTGAACCCAAAACCAAGTCCCTAAATTCCCCGAAGCCCCAAGCGCGTGTAGTGTAGAGTCTGGGGTTTGGGTCATGTGGCCCAAGAAACTCCCAGCCCAGCGGTGCATTGAGGGACACAAAGATATCCCAAGCTAGACAGGGCCGCATCTGAAGAGCAATTGCGCCCCTTACCCCGCCTAAGCTATGAAAATCACAGTATTTTGCTTTTCTGAGCAGGGCCTGGTTTCGTTATTCGCAACTGCAGATATCAAAAGACGAGTGTATGATCACAACACTATGTCTGAACCCTGCCGTTCCCGAAGCCCAAAGCCTGAAGTGCCTTGTTTGGTCTGCTGTGTATCATCTCGGGTCTGTGCCCCGGAGCCTGAATCTTACAATCGCAAGCCCCGATCCCATCACACTCCCCCAAATCCCAAAGCTTTGACCTTAAGTCGCTGAACTCTTGACTCCTGACTAAACCCCCAAGACCAGAGTCCCGCTACGCTTTTTTCGCTCTGAGTGCGCAGCCATTTCTTCTAGGGTTCGTCGCGCTGAAGAGGTGCTGGAGCATCGCCTCGAGGTGGTCCGAGTTGATGGGGCCAGGGCTTCGTGGATGTTTGCATTATGCGAGGGCTTTTTGAAGTGGTTTTTTGAGGATTCCAGAACGCGGTTCTAGTTTGTAAATGCTCTGCTGTGCTTACAGCTTGTATGGATATGATGAGGATACACGCAAGACCGAGGAGGTTTCAAGTTTTCGGCAACGGTCCTGCCCCGTAGACAGCTTGTATGAAAGAGTTGCACGGTTATACTTGCAGGATCTTGCAGGTGATAAAGGTGTTCAATTGGATGGCCCAACGCGACCAACCACATAGTAGGTAACTGTGCGTCCAGCCCAAAGCGCTAAACCATTTAAACCACCAAAGACAGGACAATGCCGCTGCCCAAAGAGCCCTTACCCCTACACTATAGGCAATATTCTTGATCTGGACCATGATTTTTTCTTTACGTACTCGTGAAAGCTGCTGAACATAGAGACCCGGCAAGTGTCCCCCCCAAGGGGTTTTGCTAGACTTTGGGTGATGGCTACGCTTGGGCAGTTTCCTAGATGCAGAACCTGTTTCAAGCTTCGGTTCCCCAAAGGACCTGCCAGCCGCATACCCCTTTGTGACAGTCGAGGCATCATCTCCAGAAGTGTAGAAGAACAACAGCTATAAATCCTTCAGTGAGCTATACGTCATTACTGTCACTTTACTACATCTACTGCTGCATGACGTTTGCAAGCGCCAGGCTGACTTCCCAGAGTTCACGCGGCCGAACACCGCTATCTGGCAAACTTTTAGAATGGTGTCGTTGGGTGGAGGGCCGAACCTCAAACTTAGAGGTTGTTGTGTAAGGGTGAGTGTAATAGGGTTCTACTGCTTTGGGTTTAAAGTTTAGATGAAGGTCTCGTTGTTTTCCGACACTCCCGATCAGTGCCGAAAGTATGCAATGCGTTTTGGCCCTAGGACGTTTTGCGGATACAGACTCCGCATCTGCATGGCATCTTCAAAAGCCCGGATGCTCAGAGATGTTCAACCACTGCCTCTGCTAGCTATATAAGCCCTCGAAATACTCACCCACATATTTTGTCTGTATAGCCTGAACCACAACCTTTCAGGACACACAAGATGGAACCCAACACAAAGACGAGACCTACTCGCTGTTCGACTTCACTGTTCCACAGATTACGGCAGACCTGTGTTCTCAAGAGCTCCATGGTTTGGATCTCTGGTCTGAAAGTTTACTATGTAGGCTCGGACTTCGTCAAGACATTCATGCAGGCTCAGTTTTTCAATTGCCATTCGAAGCACCACTGGCAAGGCGTATTACTATTTCCGGCGCAAACAGCTTCGTTTCCAGAAAAACAGGCAAAAGAAGTAGAGCACAAATAGTCCAGATCCGTCACCCACCCCTATTCGCAGCTATGACAAAGGTACTTGATGAGGCGACTAGTGTGTTTGTATATACACTTTCTGTTCAGGTGCGGGTTCGTATTTGCGCTCTAGAATGCTTTGCCTGGTGCCTTTTTGCTGCTGTGGGCTTGAACAAATATGTCTGACTGGTAGTCCTTCAGACGGCAAACCCTGGAAAAGATGGCCACGGCCTCCGGCAACTCTTCGTAGATCGTGTCTTAGTTGCTGGTGCTCTACCGTATTCGCCAAAGCAACTTCTTGTAGACTGCTATGACTTGCTGCATGTCGCCCATGTGTTTGCAGCCTCTCGTGCTCGCACACGCACGAACTTCAGCACAATATTCTGCTAGGCCGAGAGCCGGAAAAGGCGGAACTCAACTGAAGATCCCTGCACGTCCGTTTACGCAGTGCTACCGCAGGCAAGTCTCTCTTGCGAAATTTGAGGCTCTCCTTGCTCTTGAAGCACCTTGCAGCGTCAGGATTTAGGAATAGGGAGAACCTACACGATCTGAGTACTCTACGCCGACGTCCTATATGTCTCTCGGACTGCAATGCTCAAAAGTGAAAGCTTCCCCAACATCAGACATGAAAGAATATGTCGGACGCTCGAATCAAAGTCATGTGAATTTGTTCGATTCGACCGATATAATCTAAACTAACTAATCAACTAGCTTTTTCATCGGCGTAGCCAGGAAAACGGCGAGAAAGAGGACACGCCCACCCCATCACCTCAAACCTCAACCAGCCCGAAAAGATCATAGAAATCCTCATCCCAGCTCGCCCTAGCCCAAGACCTCAAACCCTCAACTTCTTAAAGGACTTTGCAATTCGACAGACCACTCAGAGCCCTGAACCCTCGAACCTAAAAGTCTAGATTGAGAACATATAAAAAGATTGCCTCACATCCTGAAGCAAACAAGGTTCAAGCTCTCCTAAATCCTAAAGCGCACAACCTTCACCCTGACATGAAACCCAAGTACCCCACAAGCCGCAAAGGCATGGAAGACGGGCTGAGACCAGGGCCATACCCTTAGGCAGTCGGTGATTCTGCGAAGGACCTAGTGTAGGGAACTTTTCGTTTTTGGGGCTTGAGAGTTTAGGTCTATTGGACTTCGGGTTAAGAACTATAGCTTTGGGCATGTAGGGTTTATGTCAAGACGAAATCAAAAGGTTTTTGCGGGCTTTAGAGCATTTAGGGGGTTATGTTAAGCGTGCTTGGGGGATGGGGATTTTAATTCCATGGGCTTTACCGGTCTCGGGTTCATGTGGTAAGACTGGTACCGTTTCATCACCGAAGATGTCTGAAGCGCAGTTCGAAACTGGAATGTGGGCTGTGGCAGCACAGCCGCTGCATTCAGCATACAGCATAAATGTCAGCAGAGACTTTGCACATTCCCCTAGCCTGGAGCACTTAGATTGAAACTAACCCTCTTAAATTTTCTACTCCACCTGTTGACGGAAGCCGACAAACCACATTAACTCACTGCAAATACCCTGAACGCCTATGCGCCCGAAATGCCAGAATCCTCTGCCCCAACTCCCCGCGCCTGTCGAATGGAGTTCTTGCCCATGTACCGGCGGAAGGTCTTCTCCCGTGGCTCCTGACCTCCACTCTCATCCCGAAACACCTATTGAATCTGTTGTTCTGTTGCTTTTTTGCGGGGGGTCTCGTTTCAGGGGTCCTGGGCTTTCCACGGTTTAGGGTGCAGCAGAGGGCAGCGCGAAGTCCGGTCCTATGCACATAGGTCTCAGGTGCCAGAGATTAAGGTCGGCGGCGACGTTTGCATGTAGAAGTCGGCCATGGAATGAGTCATCGGAATCTGCGTGGCAGAATGGTTGAAAGTGGTTGTGCAGTCGTCTGCGTCCTCACTGCCAGCGTAGGATTCTGCGCAGGTAAGTGGTTTTAGAGCTTGATATGGTTGCAGACTCGGAGTCCTCGATACTTAGTATCCCCTGAAACGCTACTGCTGCGGTTGACCCTTTTGGAGCCTGACAAAGAGGCACCCTATTTTTACAACGACAAGATCCGCGCAAACCTGGACCTTGACCCTTGACCTCAACTCTGAAACCTGAAAATCCCTGAATCCTTAAATCCCTGCTCCCTAAACCGATTGGTGCTAGGGGCGGCGCGAAGCAAGAGGCTCTCTCGCTGCTTTGTCGGAGTCTGCGCAGGACACCATGATTTCAGGTCGAGGGCAGTGCAGGGTTCAGAATCTAGGGTCTAAGTTGTAAAGTGTCGGGTTGAGGACTTCATTAGTCTGAAGAGTTTGGAGTTGAGGGTAGAGTTTAGGGGTCACGGCCATGGTCTAAACTTTAGACCAGTCTAAACTCTGCAGTTCCAGAGTGTGGAGTATGTGTGTGTATATATATATATGTATATATGGATTTAGATATTATATATATATATATTTCGCCTTATATAGGTATACTGTATACATTCTGTGGCCAGACCTTAGGGGAAAGGACTCCAGAAAAGGGGTTCCAATCAGGAGGGTCCGAGAAAGGGGTTCCAATCAGGAGGGTCCGAGTTTAAGGATTCAGGGGCTCGTCAAGTCCCGTGCTATTGCTCGACAGGGACAACACGGTTATCGATGAAGGTCCTTTGTAAACGCGTGCAGCCCAGAAAGTGGCTCATGCCAAAATCTCCGGAAAGCAACTCCAAGCCCGGAAAGCCCTCGGTCTGAAACTTAACCCAAAACGAAAGCCTGAGCCCTCAAGCCTATACGAACTCCAAAGGCTCCGCGGAGCCTTGATGCCCTGGGCCATTTTCAGGACGCGCTCGGGCTCCAGAAGTCCTTTGCGAAGCGCAGGGACTTTCCTGGCCAGGGCCACAAGGCCCAGGAACAGACCGTGGCGGGCCGGCGTGGGAGGCGGGGGAATGCAAGACTACGATCGTCATGCCAACAGTCGTCAATTTAGATATGGTAGCAACGGCAACAGACTTGCAAGACTCATGCTAGACTCCTAGACGACAGCGCGTCTAGTCGTCACAGTATTGATGGCATCAAGATAGCCATCATCGATGACGAAGACCATGCAGGCGCAATCCGGATGACATAGATTTGGCGTCACCTTCTTGCGTGACGAGAAGCCTTGTAGACTTTAGTGGAAGAGCAGCCTTCAAATCCGAACGATAAGAAATCCTCCATGATTCAAGGTGTGCTCCATGTACTCCTTAATCCAGAGATGCCAGTACAACTCCGATTCGACTTAGGGATGTCGTGGGGTTGCCTCCGACTTTTTCGTCAATACAATCAGATCGATATCATATTAAAGTTGACTTGCCCCAAACCAGCAAGGAAATCGGTGTATGCTTATCATCGCTCAGGGATCTGTGGTTCGGGTGTGGCTAAACCTAAAGCATGCCGAAATACACCTCATCTACCGTCCACAAGCCAGCGAGCATGATGCTTAAAGCAGGGGTGCAGGATTGATATGAGGCACCATGTTCAGAGACAAGGATGGTGAGGATCCTACTGGTCCTACTATTCTGAAGTCGAGGTTCTAAAACAACTTTCTCATCTTTTGAAACGTCCGTATTGATAACGACCCTCGTGGGGAATGCAAATCTACAACTAAACACATAAGCCAAGCCAGCTTGGCATGGCTAAGCCCTCAACGCCGCCCTCGTCGTAGATCTTCCGCAGCTGTGGCACGGAAAGGATCTGCCATTTGTCGCGAAGTGGTTTAAGCGTGTGTTCCATACGCCCTACCTCAGAAAATCTACACCGCCCGAGTAAGCAACCTGCGATCACTTTGGAACCTTCGGCCCACTATGACTGATACTACACATTGAAACCTGATCCTCCTAGTACGACGGTGATTACTATGATTGTAATACGAGTGCTTTTGTTACCCTTCTTCTTAAATACTGCCAGTACTGCATGTACCGCAATATGCCTGTTGTCATGACTGCTGCTGAGATCATTGTCAATGTAATAGTTCTACGATGACTACTACGATTGCTACTGTACGAGTGGCACCGGTACTGCGGCCTGGTAGAGATTCGAGACCCGGTAGAATTCCTGGGCCAAGATCTCAGCCTCCTGCGGCTCAGGGCTCAGCTGACTTTGGAACAGAGCTTGATCACCATCAAGAAGGGCTCTTTCTTGTCTTATTGCATTTTGTGAAGTTTTTATTGCTTAGCAGAAGCGCAGTGCTGGTGAATTATAACAACTCACCACAGTGGACCATGTTAACGGATACGAGTGTAGTAACGGTGTAGTGTAGTATTAACTGTCCAGTGCGTCTGACGGATCTGTTCCCTACTCGCAACAGCTCCAGTCAATGTTCCATGGTTGCTAAGCAATCCGATTGTTCGGACTGTAACCAGGTAACCCGAACAGGACCTACATTCGGAACTGTATGTGGACCAACCTGAGAACTTATTCGTCACGTCCGAAGTCCAAGACACCCTGACTCCGAATCGGAAGTAAGTTCCCCCAAGGAAGCCACCATTATGGTCATCTCCGCTTTCATCTTATGTAATGTCTCTCCAAAATGCTATGGCTAGTCAGGTCTGCTGGCTGTGGCAATATCTTCTTCATTGTGTCGATACAAGACATCCTCAGCGCGAGCATCAAACACCACCGTCCGTGCCTTGAATGAAACCATGAAATCCTAGGGCAGTTTCGCTACTTGGGGTAGCAGATAAATATCTAGGCTCATCTGCAGCATCAAGCATCCCGGAAACCATTGAACAACCTGGACACTCTGAATCCAGAACCCGAAGTTCTAGGCCCTGAGTGAACCCTGAAATGTTATAGGGCTCCTCCTCGGGCGACTCTGGGTTCTCAGGAGGAGCCTGGCGACTGGGTTGTGAAGGCTTTCTTTATGCTTTGCGGTCTGAGGCATTAGGTTTGGTTTAGGACTCTTTGAGGCCGAGGGTCGGAGTTCCAATCACTGATTGCCCAGCCCAGGCGTATGCAGAAGCGTTAGCGGTGGCGGTGCCATCGCCGACGAGCTGCTAGTTGCAGTAGCAGGAGCAGCAGCAGCAGCAGTGGCATAGCAGTCGCAGTCGCAGTGCTGGTTTCCAAGTATACGGCGGCATAACAACAAAACGCCCTGCCACGAGCCTCACCGGGCCTCCCCAACCCATCCCAATGGCCGCCCGTCTGCCTCAGAACTTTATCCGAAATCCTAGATCTGAACCTTAAGCCGTAAACCTCAATCCCTCAACCTCAAGCCCCAGCACCGCAGCGCCGTCAAGCAATAAGCTGATATATGCCTCGACACCCCACACCTTGAAACGCTGATTTCAGAAATCCGAAGATTTCCCCTTGATGTTTGTTTTAGCCTGGCCTCCATGAGGGAGCTCTCCGGCTGCAGGGTAATCCCTGACTCGTTGTTGCCCTCCTGGCAGGTGCAAGGCCATGCCTTCGGGGGGGTTAGGAGAGCAAGGCTCGAGGTCTAGCAGGTTCAAGAGGTCAGGGTGACTCGAATGCAAAAGGACATGAAGAGCCAGTCGCGGCGCCGCACTCCTCGATCAATGTAAACTCGCTCAGCCTGTTCAAATCAAACCCTGCGACCCCCGTGTGCCTCCCATCTGGCCCAGTTCCACTCGTCGTCCTCATCGTCGTCCCTCGTGAGCAGCTGCTCCTGTCCAAGGGGTTTCCATGCACAAACTCAAACCAAGCCTGACAGGACCACCGGCAAGAAACCTTAAAACAACACCAAGTGAACCCAGACAAACCAAGATTCCCTGCACAAACATCCTGAAGCCACAGGCTGTAGAGTAATTATCAAATACCGCTACACTCGAGTGCCGGAGGCAATGCAGCATGCTGTTCACCAGCAGCATATTACAGGAGAACCAGACTATTGGGGGAGACGGGGCAGACGAGCCTTGAGCTTCAGTATTACCCCAGTAGGCCCTGAATTGCCCAACATCCTGAAACCATACTTGCCGGGTCTACATCGTCAAACACAACATCCCAACCTGACACTTCGAATCCAAACAATCCGAAATCGGGGTTCCTGAATAGGGATGACCACAAATCAAGGAATTTCGTTGCACCCAAACCAATCTCCAAACACACCGAAACCCAGAAACAAAGAAGCCCCACAGCATCATCAGATATATCTGTACTCAAGGGGTGCCGAGCTCCCTGGGTAATTGGAGTGTCTGGGAGCCGTCATACCGAGCCTCGTAGGAGCCGCCTCTGCCTGAATAACGTCGCAGCTTACGGACAGTTTTCAGTCGTTCAAGGTTTGGGGCTGATAGCTTCAGGGCTTGAGGGTGCACCACTCTAGGGCATGGTAGCTTAACCTCGAAGTTAAGGAAGTCGACGCACCATCACTAGGCATCTGACAGTCAGCTTTCTTGTTGGAAATGTCCGCTACCATAAGATGGATATCGAGTAGCTGGAACTTGTACATGGTTTGCCTGTCTTTCTGCGGTACCCTCAGCGAGAATGCATCGAAAGACTGCATGTGATGAAAGTGCTCGACCTCATCTGCCCAAAACCCTAAACCGCACACAAAACGTCCTAAGCCATGAAAACCTCGAAATCTTGAACTCCACAAATACTGAATCTCCTAAGTAGCCCAATGCTGCCTGGCCTTCTTCAAGAAGGTACCCCAGCCGCTCCTTTTGGCCGGACCGCGCGTGAGGACTTTAGAAGCTCCGGGTTTAAGCGCGTCGGGTTTGATTGCTTACGGCTTGGCCGTTACTTACCCTTAAGGCTCCCAGGGGACCGTGTTTGGACTCTCTCGTGCTCGAGGACCAGACTAAATCAGACTTTTCTCCTAAGGACTTGGTTTTCAGGTGAAATCTGTGTGTTTGGGTTTCGGTGTGCTGCACCGAATTTCATGTGAGGAAGACGAGAAGCAGAGCGGAGATGAAACAGCGGCCCGGCAGTTGCAGGTTGCCGTCCAGGTATCAACATAAGTACATGATCGCGCATGCCTGCACACAGACAGAACAGACTCTACTGCTGTGCAAGCAGATATATGTTCACTATGCCATGCATCTGTTGACTCTGTGACGTTGACACCGCTTTCTCTGGAACCCCTTCCCTGGCCATGGCAGCGGCACAGTCCTCTACATCCTCCGCAATCTCTAAGTACCTGTGCAAAGACACACCCGTGGCATGCCCGGAAACTTCCAGAGAGTCTCAACAGCTTCACGCAATATGGGAAGTTTGGTCGAATGTTCAATATCTGGTTGGTTCGGGGTCCAGCGTATACACATCAGTGTGCTTTGGGAGAGGGAGCGGCTATGTACCACTAACCGACACTTGCGCACTTCAGTCGGATCTCTTCCATGGTGGCGTCGGGCGGCACGTCCAACTCTTCGTACCTCAGCACTTGTTCCGGGTACGCTGCTCGGCAGTCAGTCACTTCTGTTGTTCTGCTGGCTACACTGTTGGAGTAACTGTTCTTTGTGGCCAGCATGTGCGATCTGGAAACTCCTTTAGGAAGTAGACCTGTCTTGAGTTGGGTGGGACAGAAAACTACAGACAGAGTCGACTGCATGCATGTCCTGTCCCTGACAAGCCACTGGCTGTGGCCAAGCAAGCTGACTGACGGTTGGGAGGAGAGATGACCTTTACATAAAGTGCACCATGGTGGTAGTTGATGCATGCTGGTGAGACTTTAAGGAGCGGTTCGAAAGAAGGAATGAAAGTTTGATGAAGTTCAAGACATCGATTTGCTTCCTTCAGACCGGGAGGCGCCAAAGCGTTCGTTACTCAATCATTACTCACGGGATGCATCCTCATCTGCTGTGCCGAATATTCGTGGATCTCTCTTCCGTCTTGTGCACATGATATTTTATCCAGCTCATGGACCCCTTCATTCAATCGCACCCTCCCCAGAACACTGTGATCGAAATCACAAACCATACGCGCTGCCCTGCAAACCCCTCAACCCCTAACAACCCCAGAGTTTGTAAAACTAACTTAAACACTCATCCCGCTGGGGCTCAAGCCAACCTGTTTCTACTGGCGCGATCGGAGCTTCCCTGCGGGTGCTGGGGGCATCGGGGCAAGATTGTCCTTCAGGGTTTTGAAACTGCTGTCCACTTTTACTCTCGGCAGGAATCTTACAAGGTTTAGGTTGGCAGGGCTTTCCAAGGTTCTTGCTGTAACGCTTCACCAAGATTGCGGATTTCTTGAAAGCACGGCACTCAATAAGCTTCAACGGGCACTCTTTAAGAGGGGCGTGTAACGCTTCAACAAGATTTCGGTTTTCCTAACACGAAAACGACGCTCAGCAAGCTTCAATAGGCTTCGATAGCAACTCTTTAATCGCTAGCAGCGCTTGTTGAAGGAATTTGAAGGCTTCACGGCCTCTAAGGAAAAGCTAGTATGCTTCCCAGAGCGTCTTCACTTTTCGGCCTCGCTATTGAGCCTTAACGTTGTTTTCAGTCTGAGGTCCCCCTTGTGAAGTCCCCTCTGAGACTTTGAAAAATGAAAACCAAGGACCTTCTGGAAAGGCAGGTTGATTCCCTTCGGTAGGCCCTCAAACGCAAAACTAAGGATAAATTATAACCCATATACCCTAGGCTAATCTTAACCGGGCTCCGACAGAGCTCGGTTTCGAGCACCCGCTCAGTGCGTGGCTCGAGCCGGGCCAGCGGCAAGCGGCGCATCGCCAGGGCCTGGCACCAGCCAGGCCATGCGCTCCGCAGGAGAGTTCCTTACTTTTCTGCTTTGCAAAGCCTGGGTACCTTGGAGGGTCGCATGCCGAAGTCCCAAGCTCCTGAAGCTCGCCGACCACATCTGAAATCCGGTGCGAAGCATCAAGGCCAACACTAAAAAAACTTACTGGAGATCCTCATCAAAGAAACCAAGACCTCGAAACATAATCTCCAAACGCACTCAGGGGCCTACAGTTACGCCACTTCTGCGAAAGAGGCCACGATGTGGAAATGTGTGCCTGGTTAATCCTGCCGGCGATCTGCATGGCTTCTGTCTCCTGCGCCGATGCTTGCGAAATTTTGGATCGAAATCCTGACCCCCTGATTTTCAGCCTTCTTGAAGCTACGATTGGGGCAGAGGATCTTACTTGCTCGAACCTCCTTACACCTGCATGCACGGATTTTTTGTTTCTGGAGCCGGCACGAACACCAGAAACGGAAGTCTGGCTTCCTCATATGCGGTGGAGCGGCCTGGGGCTGCTAGGGTACTCCAAGTTGGGGGTTCAGCGTTTCGGCTGCTGTTGCTGGGCATCGAGAAAAGTAGCTCCAAACCCTTGTCGCACCCCCTGCAAAAACTAAACACATGAAGACACCAAACAGGACACCCTAAGCCCTGAACATGAAGCTACGCCTCCGCCGCCTTCCCAAGTGAACCCTCCAAGAGAATCTGCCGGTTCAGAGCGCCTCAGGCTCCTCCCGCTCTTGCGAGACGCCGCCGAAATAAAGGACTTCGCCCTCCTCACAAGACAGACCCAGAAGGATATACGTTGCCGCTACATATATATATATACATATATATGTATATATATATATGTATATGTAAAGGTATATTTATATACAAATGTATATGTATATTTATATACATATGTATACCTATATGTAGATGTATATGCATATGTGCTTGCATATATGTTGTGCTTATATATATATATATATACCCATGTATATACAAATTATCTATCGCATCTCAACTTTTGCACATGGCACATGATAATTGCTATTTCATACACCATGTTGCAATATGTAGCCTGTACATGTACACGTCTGCTATACATATACACATGTAAACATGTGTGTACTACGTACACATGTATGTATGTATGTATGTACGTACATGCGGAGGAATGCATGTATTTGTGTACATGTACATGCATGCGTGTATACACATGGGGTACATTGAACAAACGCCATGTCTAATGGTGCTGCCTCTGATCATCTACATATGGTATGTATTGGCTTATGTGACGACGACGTCTCCTGCAAAGGGCTCTTGTTGTGGGGGGGGGGCTTCACTTTCGGGTTGTCGTACGTAGATAGATTGGATTAGATTAGATAGTTAGGAACCTCATTTCGAAAGTCGTCAGGGCTTGGTGAGGGTTAAGGTTTAGTTTAGAGCTTGGGGGCAATTAGAGTGTTCTGCTCTTGTTCAGCTTGGAGATAGCAACGCCGATATTAAACTTGCAGGGAGCCTACTGAATTTCCAGACGACAGCTACCACCCTCTTTGAATGGAAGTCAGGTCTTTCTTGCCAACCTTTCAGGAGCTCAACAGTTACCAACTTTCGGGAAACTTTTCTGGAGCCCTAGTGTGCTGTAAGCCTCAACCCCATGGGCCTGCACACACCAGACCGGAGGTCACAAACTATCCCGTGTGTCCTCGTCTGCATCGGCTTCCACCGTGTCCACTGGATCGGCCTCCTCTCCTGTCCAGAGTGTCCGACAGCTATCAAAAAAGCAAAAAAACTAACGACTAAGCAAAACCAGAGCCATGTTGGGGTATACCCAGTAGATAATTTAATGAAATGACAGATGGACAAGGACAAGGGCACTTTTAGAGTTTAGGGTTCAGGATTCGAAGGGCTCCGGACGGTTAGGCTCTAGCTGTTCTAATTTTGCGATTTTTTACGTAAGGACGAGCTGACGCTGGTACCCTCAACCATGGTATTTCTGGTATATTCCCAGTGAAATATGGAAGCACCAGGAAATCCTAGACCTACACACGGACGGATGACCCCCCTTACATGACACAGCAAGACGATCAGTATCATCTCTGAATCCGGCGATCCTTTCGCAAACACTCCGGCACCGCAAGCTCTCAATGCTAATTACCCCTCTTTCAGCGCCAGAAACCCGATATTATAGCCCTATATCCCCGAATCCAAACCCAACGCCCTGAACTGCGAAGCCTTGGCTGCGACGTAGGACATGACGAGGTCTCCTCCTGGCAGCAGGGCTGTACAGATTTCTCGCAGGGTCGAGTTCAGGTACTTGTAAGCCTGCTTACATGTATATCCCCGTACCACTAAGAATCCATACAGCCCTGCATTGAACAGTGAGCAAAAGGAAGCCTTGAGCGGTAGGGGTTTGAGATCCCAGCTGAACGACGAATAGATAAGTTTCTTAGGGGTCCCTTGCTCGGGTCCATCTACAGACGTTCGTAAATGCTCTGCTGTAAACCCTGTAAGTCTGGCTTCCGGTGGAGCCTGAAGACCCTGACCCTGTACTACCTCTCAATGCCCCAGCATCCTCAAGCCTAAGCCTGCCGGATCCAATAAACTCTATGGACTCGACCCAGAAACCTCGACCTCAAAAGCACTGAACCCCGAACTCAGGAGTGTTGGAACCTTAGAGAGATCAGCCCCCCGCTCCTCACGGAGCTGGGCTGCACAAAGGCCCAGGAAAGGAGCTGGAACCCCAAAACTAGGACCTTCAGATGCGGCTTCAAGTTCTTTGCAGGGTCTTAGGGTACTTACTAGGGCAAGGCTTTAGGCTTTTCGGATGCAAGGATCTTCAAGCTTCCGGGTTTGCTGCTTTGGGGTTCAGGCGGAGGCGTGGAATGCTCCGACTCATTAATCATAAGCTAAGAAACTCCCATCCACTTCGGGCCATTTGGACTCTACAAAGGAACGAGGAAGTTGCGGTCGAGAAGCGCCCAAACACAGCGCTGGATGCCATGGCTTGCGTAAACCACGCATGGGCAAACTACAGCTTTGCATGGACACTTTCTGCCTTATCTTCGATGGGACGGTCTCGCCAGTGAAACGGCCTTACAAAACAGAGGTTCACTGTATCATGATGCCGATGTTCATAATCATAAGTGTTCATAGCTTTCATAAAGCATAGGACTTTGGGCGTCCGGGAGTCTGGGCAGGGTAATTAATGGCCGGTTATTGCAAACCTAGACAACTTGCACAGGCCGAAGAAAGCAAGAGCCAATGCAGGGTTCAATCAGTGCCAAGACAGCCTGGCAGTTACGAGGGTTCGGGATATTTAAGGCCTAGGGTGTTGAAGGCTCGGAGTTGAGGCGTTAAGGGTGCTAAGGGCTTCGGATTTCGGATTTAGGACGGTTCAGGGTTCAAGCCTTTCTTCACGAGCTCAAACCCAAAGTTGGGCATCGCTACGCCGTCTGCGAAATTGAAGCTAGCGCCTACGAGCGACCAGGAAGAATGAACTTCAATCCAACCGTAGACAGAGTGCATGTGGCGTGACTGCTACTGCCGTGATGAGGGACGATGAAGACCGCTTCTCATCGACGACCACGCCTCCGACTACGAGTACATATACGACTTTGACTTACCACCACCACTACCACTGCAACGTTGTCCTCCCAGTGGCTTCATATCGAGCGCGGTTCATTTTTCGACACACGTCCCTGCATGCGAGAAAATGGCCAAGCTTGGCGCGAGATGGAACCTCTCCGGATTCAAACAGGGGATTTCACAGCACCGATTTCTATGAGCTTACAGTATCAGGCTTGATTACGTAGGGCAATGGGGATCTCAGGCTCGGGTCTTGATTCTCCGTGCTGACTACAGGATGAGCAGGTGGAAAAGTTGGGTACAAGGGGTATAGCATGCTGTCCACGCTCGGCTGACAGTGCTTGAACGTTTTCCCCGTAATCCTCCAAACTTGCAGATTCTCAGTCTCATTTTTGGTGCCACTGGGAAAGCCTCCGCCATAGCGCAAGACCCTGGACCCACAGCAAGTTGTGCATTATTAACCAGCACGAGGCCGTAATGCCCTCCACACAGAACCCAGCCCTAAACTATCCTAAACTTACATATACCGAAAGAGGAGCAAACAGAGCGATTGCTCGCAAATCTGCAATGAAGCCACGACCTTCTATTCATAATATGAAAGACGGCAGCTGTCACGGGGCGATCCATAAGCGCAAGCCTGACTGTTCATCATGCTGATTATCTTGTCCCGCAGGGCTGGGAATGGTATGTTACAACTCCCAGCACGCGGAAGTCCAGATCCTTCCCACACCCCGAGAGGCCCATTCAACTTTTGAAGGACATGGCATGAGGCATTTATGCTCTCCTTTGGATCTACGGAATATTCGCTGGAGTTGGGCTGCTTGCTAGGAGCAGGCTTCCTTCAGATCTTCCACTCGAGACCCAACCCCGACGCTAAAAAATCCCTCAAGAGCTAGATCAACCGGGCCCAAGCGGAGACCGAGGCACTCCCTGCGTCGCAGCCTTGGAGGTCGGAATTCCTGTTGAGTCCTGCGGAACATAAGCAACGGAAATGTTGCATATCAGCAGGGTAGATGTGGCACATGAGTGCGTAGATACTTCGTGGGTATCATAGCTATATAGCAGCAAACGAGTGAACCTAAAGCGCAGCTGTAAACAAACGAGCCAGCCAAGACACGGACGAGCAAACACTCAACGAACCAACCAACCAGACAGACAAACTCAGAAAGAGAGAGAGAGAGAGAGAGAGAGTGCGGGAGAGCCGATGGCATGATAAATGCTGATGCGCTTAAGTGTGTGATTATATTATATTATATTATATTATATTATATTATATTATATTATATTATATTATATTATATTATATTATATTATATTATATAGTATAATATAATATAATATGATATAACAATATAGAATATGTAATAAAAAATAATATAATATTATATTATATTATATATTATATTATATATTATATATTATATATTATATATTATATATTATATATTATATATTATATTTTATATACTATATATTCCATATTATATATTATGTTATATTATATATTATACATTATATATTATATATTATATTTTAGATTTTATATACTATATACTATATACTATATACTATATACTATATATTATATATTATATATTATATATTATATATTATATATTATATATTATATATTATATATTCTATTAGATTGCAATATATTATATCTTATTTTATTATATTGTATTGTATATGTATTCGCACAGATGCTTATATCCTGGTTGCTATCATCATAGTTATTCTTACCGCTATGACTATTAGAATCATTTTTATTGTTAGTGTTCTTATCCTTCCTAGCATGGCTACTATGTACTACCATTCTATTGTAAGTATATGATACTTCCTACTGTTACTATCACGCCAATTTGTATTCTTTGTAGTGTTGCTCTTACCACTCTTCGCAACGTTATTATTACTATTACTATTCGTAATCAAGTCTTCTTGTCATTATAGTCAGTACCGCTACTATTGCTATGTATATCTACAAACTAAAATTTAGCTGTTCATGCGTTTCTGTATTTATGTGCTCTCTTTATTGCGATGCCTTCACATGCAAGCAACAACAGAACAAGACCTGACCAGCTATGAAAATGTGCAAGCCGCACGCGATGCAGTTATCACTAAGACCCCAGGCGGTATACGGCCGAGTAGCCTTATTGGTTTCGATCGCCATTTATCTTCACCCACAGAAAAAGTGTCAGGATCAGCAGCAGCGTCGCAGAGATCAAAGTCACCATGAGCGCAATCATCAGACTACCATCGACATCATCAGCCTCATCACCATCATCAACCATCATCTTCATCACTACCGCCATAACCATCGAGCCGTTGTCATCAACAACGAAGCCACGATGACAGTCATCTGGATACTGAGGACCGCAATCATCGTCATACTGCTATCAGCATAGACAACACCCGGCATAGCAGCGATAACTGCCACGGCATTGAAACAAACGCGGCAGCAGCAGCTTTCTTGCACAGGGGCACAGCAACAACGACGACAAGCGATCGACGGCAGCAGTGCCAGCAATAGCAACACCAGCACCAGACCAGACTACCCGACGAGGACAGCAACTTTCCTACCAACACATAATAAGTGAACTCTTCGACATGAGACTAACACATGTGGCTGCAAATTGACTCGAAAACTCAGAACTTTCTATAAAGGAATGGCCGCATTTTGCCTTGCGCCGTCGGATGATCGGGTCGCGCCGGAACACAGAGGGTTGCCAGGGCTTGACGAGGCTCAGAAACAAATGTTATCACTTGATAAGACTTACGTAGATGTACACCTTGTGCAGGACAGCAACCTTTTTCCCGGAAGGCAATCTGTTCTCTTCGAGTGTTGTTCATCTGGGTCTCCGAAGTGCGCGGTGCATGGCAGCTGCCCCAGCTGCATTCCTCGGCTTCCCCGGGTTCATTCAAACTTAAACCTAGATGCTTGAACCTGACCTGAAGATAACCAGTGGAAGCGCAGGTGCGAAAGCTGCAGGTAAGGGAAGACTGAGCCAGGAGCGTTTTGCAAACTCTCTTCTGCAAATATTGCCTTCATTCTCGAATACTACCAACCCGCCCACCACAGACGCCACATACCACCACTGCGAGTACTAAGACGACTGCCACTTCTGCGACTGCAACTCAGGTGCAGTTGAAAATCAACTGCAACAGCTGCTGCTACTACTACTCCGTTATTTTCAGGCATGCTACGATGGGACTACTATAGCATCACAGCTATATTGGTGCAACCTGACCGGCACCACGAGTATGTCTGCTTTGACCCAGCATCGTGGCGGCGAGGAGAACCAGTCCCATGTGACCTATGGCTGCAGTTCTCACGTTCGACAGGCGTCAGACTCTGCTTTTCAGGCGTGCTGGTTTGTACCCCACTGCGACGCGCTGTCATAGCGGCTGCGAGTCTCATCGCATTTAAGAAGCATTGTTATGAACCAGGTGATTACATGCAGAGCGAAGATTTGGCTTGGGAACTTGGGAAACTTCAGAGACAAAACCGACGACTGAGCATCAAGAGCACCTAAATCTTTCAAGCCATCAGTATCGGTGATGGACAAACCCTTGCATATGCCAGCACCCAGCGATGACATCGAGCTCATGTGTCTGGGCTCCGACTGCAGGCTGTGTGTTGTAGAAGAGTTCGAGGTGAGGACGGCTACCAGTCCCGAACTCCAGCCAAGCCCAAAGAAAGCACCGAGTGTGCCCGTCTTGACCGCCTGCAAATGTTGCTTAACCTGCCAAAAAGGGAATTGATCTAATCTAAGCCTGAAACATAAGCGCGAAACCCAGAGAGCCGAGGCTACCTTTGAGGTCCTTCATTGTTGGGGTGGCCAGGCTTCAGGCTTTTGCATACAAGGAGCTGGATCGAAACCAGGAGGCAAAGGACTCTCCGGTGTGAGGTAGATGCACTCCCTGTCCCGCTGGAACCACGTTGCAGTCCAGCGATGTATGTTTGGGGCTTAGGCTCGGGCTTCGGCTTCAGTATAGATAAGCCCTGGCCTCAGTTGTGGACCTAGGGAGCAGATCGTAAGAGGTAACGTTGTGGTCTGATGACAGCACCGACAACGACAGCAGGCATCGATACGACTGCTAAGCAGAAAGAAGTAATCGCCGCGCCGTGCAAATCACAACAACGACAAACAACGACAAGCAACGACAACAACGACAACAACAACTACTAACTACTACTACTACTCCTACTCCTACTACTACTACTACTACTACTACTACTGCTACTGCTACTGCTGCTACTGCTGCTACTGCTGCTACTGCTACTACTACTACTACTGCTACTACTACTACTACTACTACTACTACTACTACGGCCGTAGCCCTAGGTTTGCCCCGCGGAGCTTTCCTTACATAGGCAGCGAGGTACAAAATACGTGGCAGGCGCAGTACTTTCGAGGGTTGGAGGGTTCTGATGGCAGGAGACGATTTCCGTGTAAAATTTAAAATTTTACGGGCAAATTGGTGTTTGCTGCGACAGCCGAAACCTCATAATACGTGGCCAGCGCAAGACTTTTGAGACTTCTCGGCAAGTAGCAGGGCTCAAGACGCGCGGCCTTTTTTTGGCTATGTTACCGCCGTAGAGCACGACGGCAAGTGCAAAATACGTGGCAGGTGAGCCAAACCCAAAACCCTAAAAGGATATGTCGAAAGCCAAACCCTAAACCCAAAAAGGAGATATTGGTAACCAAACCCTAAACCCTAAAACGAGATGCTGGTGAGCCAAACCCTAAACCCTAAAAAGAGATGTTGGTAAGCAAACCCTAAACCCTAAAAGGAGATGTGGGAAGCCGAACCCTAGACCCTAAAAGGGGATGTTGGTCAGCAAACCCTTAACCCTAAAAGGAGATGTTGGTAACCGAACCCTAAAAGGAGATGTCGGTGAGCCAAACCCTAAACCCTAAAAGGAGATGTTGGTAACGAAACCTTAAGCCCTGAAAGGAGATGTCGGTGAGCCAAACCCAAAACCCTAAAAGGATATGTCGAAAGCCAAACCCTAAACCCTAAAAGGAGATGTTGGTAACCAAACCCTAAACCGTAAAAGGATATGTCGAAAGCCAAACCCTCAACCCTAAAAGGAGATGTTGTCAGCCAAACCCTAAACCCTAAAAGGAGATGTCGGTGAGCAAACCCTAAACCCTAAAAGGAGCTGTCCATGGCCAAACCCTGAACCCTAAAAGGAGATGTGGGAAGCCGAACCCTAAACCCTAAAAAGAGATTTCGATGGCCAAACCCTAGATCCTAAAAGGAGATGTTGGTCAGCAAACCCTTAACCCCAAAAGGAGATGTTGGTAACCGAACCCTAAACCCTAAAAGGAGATGCTGGTCAGCCAAACCCTAAACCCTAAAAGGAGCTGTCCATGGCCAAAACCTAAACCCTAAAAGGAGATGTGGGAAGCCGAACCCTAAACCCTAAAAGGAGATGTTGGTAACCAAACCCTAAACCCTAAAAGGAGATGCTGGTCAGCAAAGCCTTAACCCTAAAAGGAGATGTCGAAAGCCAACCCTGCCAAAAGGATGTTGAAAAGCAAACCCTGAAAAAGGATGAATGTTGAGATTCCCAGTGGCCTTTCCGTGGCCAGGGGTGCCAGGAAGAGTGAGGCCGCTTGCAGACTTGCCAGGGAGTGCGCGTCGAGGCAAGCCACGCTACTACTACTACTACTACTACTACTACTACTACTACTACTACTACTAGTACTACGACTACGACTACGACTATGACTACGACTACGACTACGACGACTACGACTACGACTACGACTACGACTACGACGACGACGACGACTACTACTACTACGACGACGACGACGAACGGGAACTGGGAGCGCGAGTGACTCCATGTGAATGGACATAATCTCATCATACTCGCTCCGAACACCTCGGAGCCAACGATGGCCAGAAGCAGCAGTGCCAAGACGAAGCGACCCGATACCGTGGCTTCCAGGAATCCCCGGCTTCCTGCATCACGGAGCTATGAGACTGTTTGAAGGGTGGCATGTTTCTATGTTTTGTTCTTTATAAGTGTGTTCTACGATCTTACAGGAGAGGGAGACGGGAGCAATATTGGAGAGCCCAGAAGGCTTGAAGACGTTGCGCTAAAGAATTTGTGTGTGAAATTGCGGCTTAGTGTCTTTCAGCATCAGGACTTGGGCTAGGGCGTTGTTGGGTCATATACGAGGGCAGTGCCTATTCTAGATTCTAGGTTGTTGGGGTTGAGGGTTTCAAGACTTCCGGATCAAGCATGAGCATCAGCTCCGGATGTAAAGTTCTGGCTTCAGATCTGCTTGGGCAAGCTTGGGAGCTTCGTAGGATGATGACACTCACCGAGGGGCACTTGGTCCAGCAAGTCGCACAGGGGATAAGTTGATTTGCGTCTTTTTTGACTGAAGCAGTTCATGCATCGTCTATGTTTATGTCTTGCTTCAGAAATTCGGAGCTGAATCCGGCTCAGATACCGTCTCGAGCAGCGCCGAAGTAGTACCATCCAAGCAGCGCGCAGAGGGAGCCGAAGACTCGAATCCAAAGGCGCTGCAACTCTGCGACGTCAAAGACGAGGCCGAAGAGGGTGGTCGGGGCCACCACCAGGCAAATGCCTCAGAAGTTGTCGAGGCTTTCAGGTCCAAAAACACATCTAAAGGTTTCAGGATTCTCTTTACTTTTCCTGGCCTACAACATCGGAAGGGTCGAAAGCAGAAAACTATCTGGAAAACCCACGCCCGAGATCAACCTACCAGGCCTTCTGCAGCCTATGATAAGTACTTAGTTTAGGCACGCGTGGTGCACTATACAATTCACGATAACAGCTGGGCTCTTATGCGACCTTTAACATAGCGGACGCTACTGTGACGAAACCCAGAGTGAACCCTCGACCTTCAGCCTTAAAAGCAAAACCCCATAAAACTTTCAGCCCCGGCCTATCAAAGCAATGTAGGCGCCAGTGATTTTCGCTGTGTGCAGCGCGGCCGGCGGAACTCCTGTGCCCGGCGCACCCGACGAGGCCCGACAGGCCAGGCCTGCAGTTTAGGGTTTAGGCGGGTTTAGGGCCAGGGGCTTCGGGTGCTTGGGTTTGGGGTTCAGACTCAAAACTGGGGCTGTGAGGGTTGAGGGTTTAGGGAAAGGCAGGAAAAGGACCTTAGCGATATGAATCGAAAACAGTGAAAACAAATCAATGTCAAGCAGCTCTCATCATCCTCCTGGCAGCTTCATCATCCTCATCTAATCACCGTTGTCTTTGTCATCGTCACCTTCCTATCCTGTGCAAGATGGGCTCAGATGGTCTGTCAATGGGTTCAGGGTTTGAAGGCTTCGCCTGTCAATCGAAACATCCTGTCTTCCGTCCACCCGAATCTTAAAACGAGTCGCAAGCATCCGAACCAGAATGCTGCAAATCCAAACCTCAACTCTCTACTTTCTTGCTGGGTGCAGAGTCTAAGCACTGAAGCCGCTTCCACTAAACCCTAACTACGCAAATCCTGGGCACAGCATTCTAGTTGCACATGGCAGGCCTTGAGAGACTAGCGCGGCCATGAAAAGTGAGCAGCTTTGGCTCACCTGTCAGTAAATCTTAGCCCCTGCGGTTCAGGGTTTAAGGTTGAGGGTTCAGGGTTGCGTCCATGCGTGGTCTTTTGACTTGGAGGTTGTGAAGTTTAGGGTTTCGAAACTTTTGGGGGCGGGGTTGAGCGTTCGCGACGTAATATCCGTCTCTTAAACTGAATAACGGACTTTCAAGCTAAAACGCCTGGCACAAACTGCCCAATGTACAAGCACGAAGGAAGAAAGCAAAGACAGCAATGAACAAGGAAGGCAGGCTAACCAAAGTGTTCGAACAAAGCGAAATCCACCCGTCACTTATCGGCGCGTTTCCACTGGTCAGTTGTAGGGATTTTGCTCCTCTCGAGGTGCATAACCCGAAAGCCCATGAAAGCCCATCCTTGTAGCGCTGCGCAACCGGAAAGATTGGCCGCCGGCCAGCATCCACCGGCGGCAAAGGGCGCGGATATGGGCCCGGGCGAATCAAAGCAGAGTTCATTAAAGCAAGGTTAACCGGATAAGGTGTAGTGTAGGTTTCTTTACGCTTTGGTCTTTAGCTTCAGCTTGTATAGAAGTTTGGCTATGGGCTATGAAGCTTGACAACACAAGCTTTCAACACGTCTACCTAGCAGCGCCTGAAGATCTATGGTCTGTGGAGATGTCCCAAAAATGGCAGACTACATCTGGCGTTTAACAAGGTGCAACAATACTTATGTATTTACGGCTCGTTCTTGCGCAAGTCATCCTAGCTTGGTATAAGGCAAGATCATGGGCAAATGCCAGCTTTGCACAAAAATGTCAGCGGTGATTCAAGGACATGTGAATCAGTCCATCCTCAACTCCAGGGAAGTTCCCAACCCCGCATCGTTCTAAACCTAAACAACATGCCGCAGTCCTGAAGATTCCTCAACTTAGCATGGACAGCTTCTGAATGTTTCGGTCTGTTTCTGGGGCCATAGGATGAAGAGAGAGTACGGTACTCTGGTGAGAAATGACACGAACCTGCGCTGGGGCCTCATGGGCATCGATAGCTTTGCCCCGATGAAGAGCTGAAGATACTTCAAAACAAAGCGCCGCGCGCATTACCGGGCCTTCAGACATGTTTGGAGGTTGGGTTTAGGTTGCAAGCGGTGTGGTAGAGTCTTCGAAGCGAATCGGACCACACTAGCTGCGTCTGCAAGCATAGATGCACCCTGCAATGCTTGAGCTGTGCAGACCCTAAAGCCGGAAACCTGACACCACTGCTCAAGCTGTCGAACGCAAGGACTGTCGGCTCCTCCTTGTCCTCGAACCACCACGGTTTGCATCAGGCCGTTCGCATCGGGCGTCCGGTTCCAGAGTCGACTGCAGTCCCTTCCGACTAGAGCTAAAGATGGCGACAGAGCCTCTCTTTAGCAGGTCTCGATTAAAGAATCATTCGAGAATCCTGTTCTTGAGCGGGTTGTGGGCCTCGAACTCTTCCAATTCAGGGTACCGTTCCCCCAAACTACCACTTGCAACTGTAAGGTCTGAGCTTACCGGGAAGAGTGCACTTCACCAAGCCTTAATATGGGATTCGGGCATATTAGCATATTGATTTACAGGTTCGTGGCACCTCGACTTGCGGAGTGTTCCAAGCGGTATAGAGACCTCAATAACCAGATAGAACCCCTGTTCACGATAAGTGCAATGTCGGTGACGGTTGAATGCTTCGGGCTCTAGGGGTTGAGGATTTGGGTGTCAAGTTTGAGGCTTCAGCCTCTGGTTTTGAGGTTGGTTTCCTTATCCTTCGGGTGGGTTGGGTGTATGGGCCCTGAGACCGTCTCTCACGCAAGCGTGCCCCTGGCCTTAAGGAAGACGGCAGAGTGTTGCCGAAGGAGCCTGATCCGGGCTGCCACTAGGGGCTTATAAAATGGGGGACCTTCATATTGGCTGCCAACACAAATAACAAAGAACCCGCCAGAAGCGTAACCAGGAGGGACTGCAGGCTCAAAAGTTGAACATTGAGCTCTGGGTATGCTTGAGGGTTTGGGGCTTCCGGGCATTGGTCCAACCATGGTGATTATCCGAAGGTGGTGCATGGAATATACAAACTCAGTCATGCCAGTCCGAGGCTAAGGAGGACGCAGACCTCGTTCTTGTACTCGCGAAGGCTCTTGCCAACGATGCAGTAGACGTCGGCTTGGGCGCGCCGTTCCTCAGCGTGTGTGAAGAAGGACGGCGACTATAACAACAGAGAATTGAAGACCGAGCGCCCAACTGGCTCTTGATTCCCGAGCCCCAAACCGAATAGCTTTCAATTCCAAGGCCCAAGCCGTGACCCCAGACTCCGTGAATCTAAACACCCTAAGCCTCAGCTTGAAGCCCTGTCAAGGGCCCAAGCCATGACCCCAGACTCCGTGAATCTAAACACCCTAAGCCTCAGCTTGAAGCCCTGTCAAAGCCTTATGTAAGGCTGTAAGAAAACCGGCACAGGCAGATTGTGCAGGCTGTAGTTGGAAGACAACTGAAGCAGTTCTGACCCTCTTCGCAACTCTCAGATCCCTAACCCCAAAAAGCAGCAGGCTTCTGTGAGCTGTTTTGAACTTTCTACAGGGCAAAGTGAATCATGCATGATAGAGTGTTGGGGGTTGCGAGATCTGGGGGCCCAAGATCAACCCCATCACATCTGCCAAGGTCTATCCGAAAACGAGCTTTCTATGCGGAGACTGACTTGGCGCTTCGGGTACAGTCGGAACTCCGAAGCTATAAACAAACCGGAGACCTAACACAAACTCCAACTGCGCTCCAACCTAACACCACATTAAAACTTCGAAGCGCTCACGCATGCTTACGCAAACTGCAGCACGAAATGTTGATCCGTCGATACGCACTTCTTGAGGAACCGGCCTGCTGAAGTCTAAAATCGAATAAAGCTCTGCCTGCCGACGATTGAGAGTTTTAATGGGACCTGCAGAGGAAGTTAATATTCAGCTTCTGTGCAAGAAGCCGGGTCGCAGCGAAAAGTTGGCTGTCGTTCTTTGGCACGGGAGCAAGCGGACAAAGAGAGCCTCTCGTCTTGCACCCAGGAGAAACGACCAGAAGAGATTCCTATAAGTGCACCTTCGCCTTAAACCCTGACACAACTGTAGCGTTGTTGTAGCTTGTGCTCTGAACCTTCCACCGTCTTCCATCTGAAGACTGAAGCTTGTGCCACTGTGAGCCACTGCGAACCGCAAGCTGGCAATCGGAGACCTTCCCGGGCCTCTCGCTGCTATACGTCCCTGCGAAGGCGGAAGCACTTGGCCTTTGCAGTTCCACGTGACAGCGGTGCAGGTTCTGCATTGAGACCTTTGTACTATGGTCTCCTTGAACACCATATATAGGCATTCTAAATTTTGAAGCGAGCCCCAGATTTGAACAGCAATGTGGAAAATTGAAGAAAATGGTTGTGCTCCGTTCAACCCAGGATTCTGAGTCCGGAACCATGCCCGAACTCTGGACAAAAAATGAAAACACGAGTATGTCTGTAGCAGCATATTAGCAGTTTTAATCATTGTTGACTTCATCTTCATCTATTCTGTGTACACCCTCTCGAGAGGAACCGATGCATTGCTTAAGGAAATGGAGTCATCCTGAACCCGTAAAGCCCCTGTTGGCAAGGTACGCTGGCTACTCCGGGGATAGGGCTATAAACGAACATAGCGCAAGCACTGTCTCGAACCCCAAGCCCTTGGGCCCCAGACTTCCTGGACTCTGTACTCCCCTCAGATCTCAGGCGATCACCCAGAGATCAATGTCGTTGGCATCCCGGGCAGCGCTGCCTCAAAGTGTCGGATGTAACTACTATAAGCCTAAATTGCAGGATGCGGCCCCCTAAACGATGTACCGTTTCTAGGGCACGAAACCCTCACTCCCGTTTTTGTCAGGGTGTGAGTGCTTGGAGCAAGGACTTTCCGGCTTGGCCTCCAGAGCCTTGAACTCCAGACCCCAAGTCGTCAAAGATCAACTCCCTTGGCCCTGGATCACCCAGTAACCGGCACCCTAAACTACAAAGCGCGTCAGGTCCAGGTATTCAGGGTTTTAGGTTCTACAAGGTCTGGACCTGAGCCATCAACTCCGCATTTTACGATGGAAGCCCTGACTTTATGGCCTGGGCCTCGCCTTAGAAGTCGCTTTGCACCTCAGCCAGGAGGAATCTAAGAAATCGCAATCCAGTGCATGCAGCTCGGGACTTCATTGCAGCTAGGGATTTCATGTGACTCAGGTTCGCACCTCGGGTAGAAGTCTCTACGGCTTAGGGCTGCGGGTTCGGGTAGGCTCAGAGCCTGAAAGGGAGCTGGTAGTTTGGTAATGTGCTGCTACAGCCTGCGGGTTCAACTGCTTTAGCAATCACGTTCATGTATTCAACAGCAGAACGAATGTCAGGTACTTATAGTGTTCTGGGATTTTGTTCCAGAGCTTTAACCTGCAATACATTAAATCAGGATAGCCTGCATGTTCGCTATGAAGCTCTTTTGGGTTAAGTTCCTTCACAAGGGCGCAGAACGATCCCTTGAACCCTGAAAGGGCAAGGCTTTCTGTGGTTCAGGGTTAACTTAAGCTCATGAGGATGCAGGCAAGACTGACCCCCCTCTCACGAGGCCTGTCTGGGCACCTCGTTGGTGTCTCAACTGCCTAGAACTGACCCAACTGACCTCCAGTAGACCCGAATCCGAGACCCCGAAACCTCACAGCCGAAGCCTTTAAACTGAAAGGAACTCAGCCGCACAGTTTCTGAGCATCGAACGGCGGAGCTCGGCTCGGAGCCTCCGATCACGACCGGCAGACAAATAGGCGGCCGCCTCAGGGCACGGTGTGGTGAAAGCAGAATCTGAGAGGTCCGAGTACACTGAGCCTACTGTTCAACACGGTGGGCCGTGGCAGCAGAATCGTCTTTGAACGGGCCTCCGGGGGATTGGGGGGATTGTTATTTCGAGTGGAGCACTCTCGTCATTATCCGCCGTATTGTCAGCCTGATCTTTTGAATCATCTTCACAAACACCATCATCATCATCATCATCTCGTCATCACCGGAGTCCGAAGATCCGAGCCTGTTGTGTTTCAGTATATACATCCTGACAAGTGGATGCTTCTGCCGGCCTTCAGAATCAGTCACACCCATTAGACAAAGCCCTCCCTGCATCCGAAGCTATGATCTTGCCGGCGACGCTGGCGATGCAGCGATTGTGAGGATGCTGTCGGTGATCATGGTGCTGATGACACCAATGATGGTGGAGGGGTGATGCAAGGTTATGACATTGGTGGTGATGATTGGTGATCGTGACAGACACCTTATGCTTGAGGGAGTGATGGCATTGCAGCTGGTGATCTTGGTGCACAAACATGTTCAACCGTACAATATACTTGTTGAATTCTTGGTTGCTTCAGAAATCCGTCATCTCTCCAAGTCAAACCTTGCCACAAACTCTAGCTCTTGAAAAGACTCCAGCCAAGAACACCGTCGGCCGCCTGATAGTTCTGCATTCTGGAGACTCTCATTTGAATATTGGACCCACGGTAAACTTCGCCATATATCGAGCCACTGTAAATCCCAAGTCCGAAACCCCAGATCTTGTTCATTTAGATCTCAACCCGCAGCCAACACGCTCTGCATCCTCAGCGAGCCTAAACTCCGAAGGGTCTGTGTGTCAAACCCGATCTTGTTTACTCAGTATCCCGGAACCTCGAAAGTCCCTAATTTCAGGAAAGCGCAAGCCCCTGAAAGTTGGGTATCAAGGAACTCCCTGCCCTGCCCCTTACAAGCCCTGCACCGTAAGTCGTGTAAGGATCACACCAAATCGGAATCCGGCTCCAACGGATCTTCGATGCACAGCACTTTGTCTGCGCTCAGCCTCAGGGTCTGAGACGTGTAGTCTGAAGGCCAGACTGAGGTTGACGGCGTGCGGTTTTGGTAAGGGTGTCAGTCAGTGCTTTTGGGCTTCGGCCTGCAACTATGATTGGTAGTTACCACTATCTTACATGCACAAATATCCACGAACCTTCGAGCTCGTGTGCGCTCCAACAGTGCTCTAAAGCAGAACGATTTCCCAGCGCTGCAAAATCGATGCCGTGGGAAGCTACCAGTAGACCTTCAATCCCCGAACCCCACTCGGAGAAAGGCCCAGGAGCAAGTGTTGACTCCGGCAAGTGTCGAATCTACACACTAACCCACATGGCAGGCACGAACCGCAAACCAAAGAGCTTCGACAGCTTCGGCCAGAAAGAAGCAGCTATTTTGACCCTCGTAACTAGACTTCGGGGATGCGGCGAAGGCTGCAAGGCCCGGAATGTTCGTCGGCCGAGGCGTGTAGACACGACCTGCTCAGAAACTTGACCTGCAAACCCCGAAGCATCGCGGCCCCAGCCTTTGAAGAGATACATCACCTTTTAGAGAGTTCCGGCGTAGTATATGACTGGTACTGGAACAGGGCAGGGTTTTCGTGCATCAGCACCGCAGAAGCCTCCACCCCACAAGCCTGATGCCACTCCTCTACGCAGGAAGCTCCAAACTCTGAGGGTCGAAAAACCCGACATGGCTCACACGTTCTTCGGCTCTAGTGGTTCGTGGAACCTCCAAGTCCAGGGTTCTACGGCCGTAGCAGGCTGTGAAGACATCCATTGCAAACCTTTGAGGGCTAGAGGTTCTAGGGTTTAAAAGATTAGGACATCCTTGAATGAAAGACGTCTTTGGAGCCCTAGAGGCACAGATGTCGAAGTTCGAAGTTCTCCGTCGGAAAGCCTTCAAAGCAAACGTTGTGAATGCCCAGTGACTTGTGTTTGGGTTGAAGCACCTTTTCAACGCATCTTGGGATTTAGCGTTTGGGACTCATCTTTGAAAGGGACCACTTAGTAGCTACAAAACGCCTCCTCTGTCCATCGGAAATGCTCCGCATAGAAAGCAAAGAAGCCAGGTAGCAGAGCGGCAGCCTCGCCATTGAACTCTTGCCGCGAAATATGTCAGCAGATACAACAACATCAATAAACAACACATTCACATACTGATTGTCATTGCTGCTACTTCTTGCTAAGAGTGTCACCGGGTACATACCGAATTCTGAGCATACAACTCACCGTCACTTTTACAACGCTCGGCAGCAATAGCTGCCATGATTGCTGGAAGACAAGCTGCCCATGATGCTGGACTGGCGAGAAAGGCTTCAACAAAGTAAATCCAGCAGTTCCGACGATGCTTCTTGCGGGGTCTTCCTGAAGTGTATCACACGATGAAGAATGCAGGATCCTGTCCTGTGCATCAGCCTTAAACCTGCTTGGATCCCACATGGAGGTACTCAGACCCATGAGTTGCTTTTTCAGCTGAGGTGTGGCTCTAGCAACTGGTAATTACGTTTGGGTGCTTATGTAGGCTTTAGATGGCTTTAGGTTTGGAGTCCTGGGGTTTAGGATTCACGGTTTAATGGTCGGGGCTGGGCGAAGCAAAAGCCTTGCTGGGTAGGTGGGTAGGTGAACCGACAAGCTCCGTCCACCTGGAGCGCATGAAGTAATGACGGGTTTTGTCCCATGAAAAGTAATAGAGGCTCACAGCAACACTCGAGTGTGGCCAAGAACCACAGATAAACAAAACCCACATGCACCAAGCCACGCGACCCAACCCCTCCCCCCTGCATGCCATAGACAGCCATGTGTTCCATCACTGCCAACCTTGGACCTGTAGATGCTTTTGCATTGCTTGGAGGTTCTGTGGCCTCCGAAGATAGTCTCAGACAGCAGCTCCAGCCTCCGACAAAGCCTTCTCGCTTATGAGGACAGGCTTGCGGAACCTTCCCTTGCAAGCAACGCATAGACATGGTTTTGCTTGCAGGGTTTCATAAGGAAGGTGCAGGCTTAGGGTTCAGGAGTGTTTAGGCGCAGAGAATTGGGTGTGAGTGTGGGATGTCAGGGTTCAGCAGCTTGCGTGGTTCGTTTGGGGGCGCGTTGTTTTCCTCGGCCGACCCCACAAAACCCCAGGGCCGGATGGCCTAAAATTCAATAAGCTTATCCTTCGGTCAGTAGATTCCCAAACATGCCCTGTGCCAAAAGAGGGACATGCTTAAGTTTAAGCTGCAATGTGGGGACATCTTGACAAGAAATCCCCACAATGCATATGGGCAGAAAATGCAACATGCCGCCTCTAAAGGCCAGGTCAATCTAAGTTCTCCCTTTCTTCTGCTTCGGCCGGGAGCCTGTAGCGAATAAGTGCATACCTCGGATTAGCTCATGTTTTGGAAAGTCGGGCCCGGTACAAGATCATAAGTAGGAAGACAGAGTGCATGGCCCAAGTGCTGAACCATTCGCATGCAAGCGGTGCATCTCATGGGATCGTTTCGCATGACGATCACAGCAAAAGTGGGTGAATAAAGCATCCATACCTCGCAGAGCCTTCACTCCGAGCTAGCAGATAGCGGGTCTCACTTGTTCAGAAGATCCAGGGCTTGAGACAATCAAACTTCTGCCTACAAAGTGCCAAGGCACACTCTGACATGGAAACTGTAAAACGACCAATGATCTGTCGATGCTCGGTAGATGCATTGTCAACTGCAGCAGTGGACATGGCGAAAGCCGAATAGGTCAGAACTGTGCGGCCAATATTGACTACAGACAGCCCTACCCGTCTCAGATGCTCTCAAACATTCAAGCCAAGTACGTCCGACGCCCATTCGAATACTTCTGAAATTGAAGACCCGCAACGAAGCATGCAAACAGAAGTGCAATCCAGGCAAATTGCATCATACCAGGCTACCCATTCCCTGAGAGTAAGATTCCGTTGTTGCCCCTTCCAAAGCTCAGCCGAGGTCAGCACATCGATCCAATCGTGTGGGTTTTGGCTGGCCAGGGGGCGCTCCAGTCGGCGAACTGACGCAGCTAGGCTTGTGTGCGTGCTGTTCCTATCCTGCGTCTGAGGTATCCGCTATACGTTGTTTGTTGATGCGTCTCAAGTTCGCAATGCTAGCTATAATGGCAACAAACCAATAGACAGCTGATTCGGATGTCCTGCATCTTTGCTGTATTGGATTGCGGTACGTTGAAGCGGACTGGACTGGAGTTGAACTGCAGGAGCTACAGTGATGGCACTCGAAGAAACAATCTTGCTTTGCTGCTGCTGCTGCCTGGTCTTCTTGATGGCTTCGAGAGGGGTGTGCCCGATAGCCTGCAACCTGTAGCCAAACTGGGGCTTTCAAACGACTTTACACCAGAAGTCCCTCAGTCACACCCCGCCGACGGGCCTTGGCAATAAAACACTGCCAGGAGGCACCATGCCTCAAGCAAGCAAACGCGGCACTTTCTGCGAAGCGCAGTTGCCCCAGACTCCTATATACATCACTCTGGAATTTTCGGGGCCAGGACACTGAACAGCCCACACCAGGAAGGTCGTGCACTCTTTCTGACACCCGTTTGACAGCCGGCCTGGGCTTTTCCATTGTGTCCCCCTACAGTGTTGCATGTTAGGATGCGTGGTCGCACTGTTGGTTTTGATACTTGAAAGCCTCCGCCGAGCATCTTTGAACAGGGAATTGCGCTCGCAGGAGACGACCGTGAAAGAGGGCTCACGATACGTGGAAAGCTCTCTATCAAAACGCCAGAACCCCCCCCCCCCCCGCCCCCCCCAAAAGAAAGACACTGAATTGGCTGCAGCCGCGTGGCGAAACCGGAAGGATAGCCGGCCTGCTGACCGGCCTCAGGGCTTACAGCTTGAATTCATCCTGAGGGCCCCAATGCCCAGGCATCCATTGGGCGAATGCCAAGACCCACTTAGAGTATAGCAGTTTGAGCGTAGAGCTTTAAATTAGGGGGCCTGGGCCCCTTCGCGTAAGATGTCAGAGTTGTGTCAAGGATTCGGGCTTCAACTTCATAGCTGGTTGAAGCCGGGGGGTCAGGGCTTGAAGGGGCATGCCATCATTCCCGTAGTGATGGATGCCAGACTTCTTGAAAGCCCTTTAAAGATGGAGGAGCTTCTCTCATTACGTCCATGCATAAATATCAGACTGTCTTCAAGAATCTATTATTCATTTGCCCTAAACGTTGAATGCCAAGATGCACAGACGTCTTAGGGCCGCGAACTCTGCAGACACGCAACCCTACATAGCAAACTGTTTCTAAGGCATATGGGCTTGGGGTATGAAGGGTGATCTCCTCAAGCCCGAAGCATCGCAACCTCCACTCAACTTCTTGGGTCCGAGAGATCAGATCCCATCACCTTTCAGCCAAAGCTCCTGACGTGCTTGAAGATGCTGGAAAACTCCACAATTCCTTGCAAGACAGCCTGGAGCCTCCTGAGATCCGAAAAGACAGTGGCCCTTCTAGCTTGGAGCTGTCATCACCCGCGACCCAACTAACTGCACAACGCCACTCCACAAACCCTAAGCTCTCCATCCTGGAACCCCTCAGCACTTACCCCCCTCAACCCTAGAGGCCGCCAAAACCTGAAATCTGAGCACCTCCCAAAACCCCTGGAGCTGTGAACCCGGAAACTCCCGAACCCCACCGGGGTTCCTGGCCAATCTCCGGGCCATGGTCCACTGCCGAACCAGACGAGCTAAGGCCAATGATGGGCCCTCCTTCGGTGCTTTCGGGGTTCAGAGTTGTATACTGTATATATGATTAACGCTTCAAGAGTTCAAGGGTCCGTGGGTTTAGGGTTGAAGGGCTTCGGCCTTATGGGACTTCGGTTGAGGCCGGCGAAGGGTTTGAGGGGTTGTCGGGTTTGAGGTTTCGATGCCCACCTTCCCTAGCTACTTCTTGAGAGATTCGGGTCCGTGTGCATGGGTCTGATTTAGATCTCGAGTCCCGAAACATGCACATGCATGTCTTAGCAGCCGTGGCCGCCACGAAGACCTCCCCACATCTGAACGACCTTTTGCCAGCCACGGGTGTGCTCATCGTTGGCGAGCTTGCCGCTGCAAGTTCTCATGCTGTTGTTGCGAAAGTAATCCGGCCTGCTTGAAACAGCAGCGGCAGGAGTTTCTCTTTTGTGTCTGCATGACCACTAATCACCTAGGCCTCTGGCGGGTGAGGAAGGTTGAGCGGCACGCACGGCTTTGCGCGTTCATCATCATCACCATCACCATCATCATCATAACTACGACGACCATCATAGGAACCATGAACATACACATGAACCACCGCCAGCAGCTCTCAACTCTTGCACTCGAATACTACACCAAGCCCTAGGAAACACCGGCAAAGACTCCAACAACAAGCATGAACCCGTGGGTCAAACGTGCTACGTAGGGGTTGGCTTGATTTGAGGTCTACATGGCACCCCTGCTTGTAAAAGTCCCATGTCTGGACTTCTTGGTGCCAGTGTCTTTTCTGGACCTATGTTCATGTGCAGGGCTACCCTAGCACTCAAGTCAAAGGAGGGCCCCAAAGGTAATGGGTTCCGCTCTAAGTGCTGCTTTGCCGGAAGGATCCGACTACCAGGGGCTGTATGCTACCATGCATTCCTTGTCCTTCAACCTCCCAAACTGGAGGCCGCATCCTAAAGCCTCCCAAGCCCTGCGTTATACTGCAACCAAACCGGAAACTGCTGAAACCTAAATCCTACACTGGCTACACCACAACACTCAAAACCCAAAGCCGCTGAGACCCATTGTAAACATGCTAAAAACCACTGAACATCAACCTTGCAAGAATCCTATATACACGTACACAACTCTGTAGCTAGTACCAAACTTACAACCGCACTAGAAAAAGCCTTCCAACACCCTCCAAAACACCCGGAAGCCCTAGAGCATTACGTCCGAACCGGCAGTCGTCCCACACCCTTGGGCGAGGGGCTCTTAGAACTTGGGGTCCCCCTATGTGGCATCCCTTACGAATCTGAAACTGTCATTTGCTTCCTTCTATTCGAGATCCGTCTCTCCTCGCACATACGCAAAAAGTAGCTTCGAGTTCTCAGTAAGAGACCCCGAACTCTCCAGAAGCCCCTGAACCTCCCAAAGTAGCCACCCCCGAACCGCTGCATTCGTGTGAGATGTCCAGAGAAGAGAGCATCGAACTCTTTTGCACTGCTGCCAGGATCGGGTCGAAGCCCACCTGTCGGGGTAGCTTGGGCTCCGTAGGGTTTCTCGGTTCGGGAGTTCAGGGCTTCAAGCTGTGGCCGCAGTACTTGAGTTCCTGCTAGGCACGCCTGGGAAATTGTGCTTTCATTGAGGTGGGATTCATGCAGATGGACGCAGCGTGGACAGGGCTTGACGGATGACCCGTGTAAGCATAGGGGGAACACGTGTCGGTTGCACAACATGTGCAATCTCAATTCGACTTTGCACTACACACCGACATGAAAGCTAACAATAATTTTAATCAGCCAGCCTAATGCAAGCAAGAACATGCAACCACTGGCAAGACTCCAACAGAAGAAGAATAAACCAGGCGTGAGAATGTCCAAAGGTTCGCGGCTTCGCACTAAGAGTCAGCAAACCGAACCCATGCACTAAACCCTGAACTCCCTCAAACCTCGATCCGCTAAACCGGATACACTTGCCGAACCCACCATCAACCTACGCAAAGCTTCATATCTTCGACGCTCAAGCCCCAAATGCTAGACCTCAAACCTGTTCCTAACCATTCAACCCTAAACGGGCAAAAAGCCAACCCATACAACCCGGGCAAGACAAGCTGCACATGCATGGCAACATGAGAAGGTTCAGCGTGCACAAGTTACAATGACCCTGGGCTGAGGTCTACAAATAAGGGGCTCATAGGGCTTCGAGTGAAAATTAATCTAGGGGCACGGAAATGAAATTCTAAACCTTGTACTTCATACGCACAACGTAATAGATAAGGCAAGCGCCTCCACCTTTACAGCAGCATGCCCAGGTGGTGAGTGGCAGAGACGTAGCAGCGGCCTGGCAAAATCGATCGGTGGGTTGCGCACGGACGCACGCAGACCAACGAACTTCTGACAACAAAACATGATTGAATGACACAGCTGCCTTATTGACTGCCGCCTTTCGAACATCCGACTTGCTGGAAGAAGACACCAATAATTGGAATTGCATGTTGCCTTACACGAAATCGACGCGACGCTATGCAACATACAATACCGACAAGCATTATATGTTAGGATTTGAAAGCGGGGTTTGGGGCAACAGAACTGCAATGAAAACATGCTATGCCGACAAGACACGACTGTTGTGGGCAAGCCAGTGGAAATATTGGTTCCGACCGATTCCGTTTCATTTGCGTGGGACGGAATTCCTCCACGTCTGGTGTCTCGGGCAGCACCGTTGTATCTCCATAAACCGTCCATTCGCGACTGTATACCTTATCGACTTCTGGACTTCTAGTCTTAAATATCGAGCAGAGATGTATGTCTCGTGTCTGGGGTTGATCAAAGACAAATGTTAGGGTGATTTCGACAAACACGAACCATTAACGCGCAGCTTGATACCGTCCTCTCGGATCCGTGTCATCTTGCGAGACATGACCGTGGCTGGAATGACAACCAGCATGCAGAATGAGACAGCGCCGCATGTGTACCTGAACTTTATCTTTGCACAGTGCATCGTTTGCGTCGAGGTGTCTTTGTCATAGGCGGTCTTTTTCTTTCACCAGCACTCGCAACCTTTGAGAACAAGCTCACAGGAACAGGCACAAAGCTGGTGATGGCAATGTCCGGATTGCTCCGAGGCAGTTGCGATCAACGGCAACCAAAACGTCGACATTGTGGATGGCGCTCATGGACCAAACCTTATGCCTTATGCCATCTCGAGTACCCCAACCAGGCAAACCTTGAGAATGATGGTCTTCATACCAAGTATTCATGGTAATCACCACTAGAATGCTCTTTGCAACCTTATTTTGTTGCAAAATCAACAGGACCTTAGACCAAGCCCCCCTCCACCCTCCCGAAACCGTGCCCTTCACTTGCTCATCAAGCTTAGGTCTGAATGTTCTTTATTGCAACCGTGGACGCTGTCCAAGAGTGTCTGCTCGTAACCCAAAGTTCAAAGGGAAGGGCTCAGGACCCAAGACTTGCTTAAAAACTCCCAAAGCACCAAACTTTGGAAAAAAAACAACGGCTTCAGCAGGCTTCGACTGCAGGGTTCGCAGGAGCTTCAGGCAAACACAAATGCCGGCACATGCCAGCAACCCGGTACTGAGGGAGCAGCTTGAATGACTTTGCTTAGCCTCGTAAGCCACAAAAACCTGAACCCCTGAGATCCTTAGCCCATAAACCCATCAAAATCAACCTCTCAGCGTTAAGCCACGAAAGGGCGAGGTGGCAATGCGATCATAGGACCGACATATGTTGGGGTTCCATAGCATCACGCATATCAGCTAGAAGGTGTTTGTTGTAAGGAGGTCAGGTGCCGGGGCCGATTGTGGGTCCATTTTTTCGAACCTCCCACACAGATGGCTTAAGCGGATTAAGAGCTTAGCTGCTTAGCTCGTTAAGCGTAGTGCGTTGCAGCATTTAGGATCAAGCTTTAGTAAGAGATGGTGGTTCTTAGAAATCCGGTCTTTCGGGCTTCGGGCTTAGACCCGGGATTTCAAGGTGAAGGCTTTTAGGGCTTTGGCGCTAGCAGGGGTTAGGGCCCAAGGGTTCAAAGTCTAGACTTTGGATACGGTCGGCAGAGCAGTTTGCAGATGATGGCGAGTGAGGGATTAGTCTGAGTTGCTTTTGAAAGCTGGCTTAGACTGTTTCCGACTCTTGTTGCAGCCCATCAAGACTGGACTCACTCTTCTCGATTCTGCAGGGCAAAAACCTGTGTTTGCCCATGCGATGAGGGTCATAGCTCCCAAATGAGCCCGAACCCTCAACCGAAAACATAACTTAATCCCCAAACCATGGAACCCTTGAAGCTGTATCAAAACATGCTAATTTTGATCCGCCATAATGTATGCTGTGGTCATACTCTATATATATATATATATATATATATATATATATATATGTATTTATACATGTATTTATATATGCTTATATATATATATATATATATATAATTATACTATATTATATTCTATTCTATTCTATACTATTCTACTCTATTATATTCTATTCTATTCTATTATATTGTATTGTATTGTATTGTATTATATTATATTATATTATATTATATTATATTATATATTACATTATATTATATATTATGATATTTTATTATATAATATATTATACTATATTATATTATATTATATTATATTATATATTATATTATATTATATTATATTATATTTTATTATATTATATATTATATTATATTATGTTATATTGTATTATTATATATTATGTTATTATATATTATATATTATATTACGTTTATATTATATTATATTTATATTATATTATGTTTTATTATATTATATTATATTAAAATATACTTTATTATATTATATACATTATATTCTATTCTATTATGTTCTATTACATTATACGAAACTATACTATACTACACTATATTAAACTATATGAAATTATATTATATTCTATTATATTATTATGTTATATTATATTATTTATATTATATTATTTTATATTATTTATATTATATTATGTTATATTAGATTAGATTAGATTAGATTATATTATGTTATATTATATTATATTATATTATACTATATTATATTATATTATATTATAATATATTATATTATACTATATAATATTATATATATATATCTTTATATGTACAGAGACATTGATATGTACATGTATATGCCCTGCCGAGCTCCGAAAACCGCTTCAATGCTTCCAACCCGTAAACCTGGCCTCAATCCCTCTACAAGCCCAAACAGGCTGTAGTTTGCAGTGCAAACCAATACAATAATTTCAAACCGCGCAAGATCGCAGAACCGTTCTATGAAGCCTATACGCGTGGGAGTCGTAAGGTGGCCTGAACTAGTAGGGTGCTTCCAGCCCGTAACAAAATCTACTTTCCAAGTCCCCCCACCCTTCCGGTAGAACCCTGAAGCCCCAAACCCCCGAAGCTCGTCAAACTCTTCACACCCAAAGCTCCGCAATTAGCCTGCGTGTGTCGAGGACCGCTTCAATCCGGTGCCACTTGTCGCTGCGGACACCTGGTTCTTCAGGGGGTCTTGTGAACCGACAAAAATCTCTAAAGGTTTGTATGTGTGTTCATATTGGGATTTTCAAGGTCTTCAAGTAGGACGGCCAGCATTCTGTTCGATTTTTTTGGTTCTGCGAAGGGTGTTGGAGGGCTTTCTGGGGTCTTCACAGGAATACACTGACTGTTTAAAGGGTCCTCGAGGCATGTCACTTTGCTGTTCATGGAAAACTGGCACTGTAAGCGCTAACAATCAGAAGACATACTCCACTTCAAACCGTCTAGCAGCTAGTAGCATACTTAATGTAGTGAAAGATTTTGGCCATCAGCAGTCGGGTTTAGACTAGAGTGTGTCAGTTTCGGGGTGTCTCGGATGTCCGAAACGTTCCTCTCTGGGTGGGTGGGTTTGAGGGTTGGTGTTTGACTAACTTTGAATGAACTTGCTTTTGTCAGTCACCTTACACAGCAAGACTCCAAGGAAGCCCCGAAACCCTAAAACCCAATGAACCCCAGACCGTGAAGCCCTCAAGCCCAGATTCCGAGGCCTTCGAAGTGGCGTTGTAGGCGGAGCACAGATCGAGAAGATAGCAGCCGGTAGCGATCCTGCAGAGCATCGTTTGCTAAAGTTGCTTCTTTGACTGAGAAACCGACTGCCGGGCGCCTCCACAGCCATTGGCCCATCACTCTCGCCTAGGACCGCCTCTTGGATGTCGGGCGACCTCTGCGAAGGCTGTGAGGGGTGTGTGGACGTTCAATGCAGGTTGTAGGGCTCATTATGGCGCAGGCCATAACAGGTTTTAATTCTGGGATAAATGGACTACCTAACACACCGAACCTTGAATCCCTAAACCCTACATGCCTACATAAACACAACACTGTGGTCTCGTCGCATTGAAAGCCGCTGACTTCGCGAAAGTCGGTAATCATAAGCGGAACACCAATGCGCGAGGCTCAAAATACGCCCAGAGACGACACCAATGACAAAATACACGGGCTCCCAAGAGTTTACAGTATGAATATTTGAGATCGGGCCTTGAAGAGCCTCAAGATGCAGATTTGTAGGGCCGTGATGGAAAGCTGACTAGCAGAGGTTTGCAAGTACACTCAAAAAGCCCGCTGTAATTGTAGACGTTGCAGGGTGTAAGGCTTTGCTGTAGGGAATCCTGCTACCTTAGGGCTCAGGTCTAGGGTGTGCTGAACCCGACTTGCAGGTTCCATTTCGCAAGTCCGAACTCTTGCGCCAAAGTTCAATCCCGGAGCATGCACGCAAACATGAGTTTTACCGTCGCCGAAAAGCGCCTTGCTCATTCGTTCAACACATCTCTACAGTCTACAGTACCTGGTTCGCGAGCATGTTGCAAGCAACTGCAACAGCGAGGTTGTCATACTCGTAACTAGGTACAAATAAATTACAACACCCCAACGGGCCGAAACTTGAGTTGTAGGTGCAACTACATAGAGCCCTAAACTTTGCAGAGCTCAAAATCAAAATCCGGATGCCCTAAAGCCGTAAACTGGCAATGAACCCTGAAAGCAATAGGACCCCAAGCGCTCAAGCCATACAAAGACCAAAGTCCCGACCCGAACACCATGACACCTCAAAAACCATTGAAACTTTCGACCCTTTGCTATCCATGTGTAGGTCCTGCATCGCAGTGCACTCTCAACTCGGGAGCGGGCAATTCGACCTGCCACTGTCACTCTTGGACGCACCCAGAGACTCCGAAACTCCGAAAAACCTTGAGAAGGGCACCCACCAGCATTCGTGAATCGGTATCTCTATGGAATCAGACCGTACCACCGAAGCTTTACATAAATGGCACCCGAATCCGGAACTGCTTGAGAGGGGTTTGGAAGCTTGCCAAAGCCTGCTACTGCTAAGATGTCCAATACTTTCACCGTCCACTGAAGATCAGTAGCTTCTTGGCTTCTTGGTGAGGCTACTGTAAGCGATTGGGCGGAGTACTTAAGGCTTAGGGTATCTGCCCTTTCAGTGATGAGCCTGACACACTTGACAATCCTTCAATGACCTTGAACACAGCCTAGAAGTGCAGTTACCTTACAGACTATAGCATCGCAACCTATCTTACAGGACTTCTAGGGGTTCCCCGAAAAGGCGCGGCTAAACCTTCTGCTATGCTCTTTACGCGTCCTCTCCTCCTTGTCAGTCTTAGCTGTCCTGGCTCCAGTGGACTTAAATCATATTATGATTTTCGAAAAATTATGTCTCGTCTCAGCATCCTCGCGGAGGTCTGCAGGCCACACATCCAGAGCCAAAATTATTGACACCTCTGTAGGCAACTCGGGGCCTTGTTATTTGTAGCCGAGTTCACAGGTTCTCTTGGTGATAAAAGAGCCAAAGGCGCACTTTTCACCCTATGCATCACGAAGAAAAATCAATCAGGTCCCAAGATCCTGCAACGGGATTCCAGTCTGAAACCATCAGGGGAAGGTTCAGGATTTCGATCAGGTTCAGGTTGCACATCTAGAGTTGAAGCTTGGGGAGAAGTCAAACTCTTGACTCACTAAACTCGCAAAGGCCACCACAACGTCCACGTCAGCGCCCTCGAGTGCGGCACCATAAAGCCGGGAACCAACTAAATATACCTGAGACTGACTGCTGGGAGAACAGCAAGCAATGTGCATGCTGCTGTTCTTGCATTATATGCCAGAACAATGGTGTCTTGCCTAAAGAATGGAACATGGGGAACGACTGGCCGTATAGATTTTGCTTCAACCACGAGCAGAGGAACACTGACGGCACGGCACGGTAACAATCGCGGTGGTCATGAAGATAGTGATGGCAGAGTCGAGGGGGTATTGAAGCCCGTCACAGTCCACTATCACTCCAACTCCAGACACAAACAATATTCAAGACCAGAGCCGGAGTGGTCTCTTTAGGAATCTCCACCCAGCAAGTACTCTATTGCAGCTCGTGGGACGATGGCGTCGCCGGGGCTGAAGGCAGCACTAACCTGCGACTGGAGGGCCTGCAACAGGAATCCACAAAGCCAGCAAGGGTGTTGGGTGCAGGGTTTATGAGTCGGGGCGCAGAGTCTAGACTTTGACGAAGGTAGTAGTATAGTATCCCAAGATTATATGCAAGTGAGTGGGCTGTAAGAACTTACCCCGCCACCCTAAACCCGAATCCTTGGTGCACCTTTATAAGAGCCGGTGAATCTTCCATAGGGTTCTCTGAGTCAGATGATTCTGGCTGTGCTCTCTCCCTGTGCCTCGCGACAGGATTCTGTCGCAGCCACATCGGTCGCAGAATAGGGGCCTGAGGCCATCATCAAAAATGCAAAAATCCTGGACCTTTGTGACTTTTTTCTAGGGCTTAGGGCCCAGGGTTCTTCGGTTGCAGGCTCTGTTTGGGTTTACGGATGACTACCCTCAGGCTGTGCTGCTGCTATTACTACGACGACAACTTCGCCTACTGCTCCTACCACCCACTCTAGACTCTAGACCAGGCAGCCCTGGTCTAGACCATAAGTAATTAGTGGGATCCAGTTTTGAGAACGATCACTGCGTAAGGCATTCAAGAACTATCGCTAAATAGATGCAAAAAGACTCATACGCGAAAGAGTTAGACCCCGAACCATTGACCCCATAACTTTCGACGCGGACCCCATTTTGCAGACGGAACTGATGCAGGCCTGGAAGGCCAAGCAGCTGCAGTGAGAGGCCCGTGGGCAACGGGTGACTGTCAAGCTCCTTGTCTTTTCTTAGCTTGATGTAGAAGGTCTGCTGATCTTGAGGTGCTTTTGTTGTTGAGGGGCATGGTGGGTTGTGGACATTGGCCGAACAGGGTTCCTGAACATCAAGTCATCAAGGACACCTTGTCTAGAGGCTCCTACAGTAAGTCAGCATCAGCACGGATCCTGTTACTCGTTGTCTAGATTAAGGTCCTCGCTTTCTGACAGTCCCTCATATCTTGGCATAGTGTTGGTGGCACGGCTGGTTCATTGTAGACTTGGGCTTCTATGAGGGTCGTTACTTGAACCTACCCTATCTAGTGCTGCTTGGAAGAACAAGGTAGTGTGAACCAATGCAGACACCGAGACTCAGCGACTCCATGATCCTAGCCCCAAACCCCAAACTCTAAAGCCTTGAGAACTCGAAAAAGCCAGTATCCTCCCAAGTGCCCAGTCAAACATAGTAGCACCCTAGGCAGGAATGTCACAAGGTCCTGCAGTATCCATCAAAAGGAGCGTGACTTTATGTTCAAAGTTCAGGGTACCGTACTTAAGTACCGCAGGACCTTGTCCAGCAGCAGCATCACAAACTCAAACCCCAACAAACTGCCAGGGCAGTATTATAACTTGATTGTTTCCCTGAGCCTCTCTGACCCTCGAACAGGTTAGAGTTCATTCCTGAGGTTCACAGTTTTGGGCTCAGGGTTTGGGGCTTCGTGCGTTTAGTGTTTGCCGTGTGCGGTTTTACGTGTAGGGGGTCGGGCTGAGGGTTTCGTCCTCATGCAACGTGCTGCCAGGGACGAACTCACCTCAGTCGGCTGTCCAAAGCCCTAAACCCTTGCAGCGCAATACAGAACCCTACTATTCTGAGCAGTGCAGGATTCTGTGAATTGGAAGTATTGAGACATGACTGTTGCAGCTCATGTCCTGGAGCGATAAGTTTGCGAGCGAGGCTTCTTTTCTCGACGGACAAGGAGATTACTTTCGGGTTTGGGGTTATTGCTAAAAGCCAAAAGTTGGAACCTGTGGCTGGTCGCCGCTGTTCCGACGACAAGGTAGAGGCTTACTGTAGCAACTGGGTTCTGCTGACAGGCTGCTGATTCCTCATAAACTAAATCCCAAGTCCGACCTCTTAAACTCTTAAACCCTTAACTGAAGCTCCTCTTACTCCTGAATTGAAGACTTCGAGTCCGCCGAGGTTCTCACGTTACAGGATACAGTATTGCGTGTAAACAGCCGATGAAGACTTTTGTGCCTTTGTTTGGGATTTAGGGTTCAAAGTTCAGGGTTCATTGAGGAAACCCCAAATGTTTTCTGTCTCAGTGCGGGTTCTCTTGCGCAGAAGACCATATCTCTAAGCCTGGTGCCGGCCAGCATTGGGCTGCGAGGACCTGCGATTATATCGCATAAACGGATAAAGTGCCCCAAACCCTTAGATCCTGGCTTGCTTTACATTTAGACACATTTCTTGGCAATGCCAGCCAGAAGAAAGACCCTGGGACTTCAGGGCTTGCCGCTGGCCAAGTCTGAAAAAACGGTCCGAAATAGGGAATCACGAAGCGTACGGTGCAAATTGGCACAGCATCTGCATGCCGCGTAATAGAAAGTCGAGCAAGCAAAGCACTCAACAACGCAATACAACACGACCGGTTGGACAGAAATCTCAAACAGGGCATCCGATTCTTTCCTTTATGCTCGAGCCTAGGAATTAGTGAGTGCGTGAGCGAGTGTCTGTGTGTTTGTGCGTGGTGTGTGTGTGTGTGTGTAACTATTTGTTTGTTTGCTTGTTTGTTCGTTTGCTGCTTGCTTCTAGCTTGCTTGCTTGCTTGTTTGTCTGTTGTTTGTTTGTGTGTGGGCTCGCAAATTTGACTGGTAGCTTGTGCACAATAATGTTATTGTATGATGTTTTTGCGCCCGGGTGCTTGCTCTGGTGCGGGGAGCTTGTGCTCGTGGCTTGCAGTTCGTCCTTCACGAGCCGTCCTCGAGCTGACGGGATAATCCGTGCTCACATGTCACTTGGACTTTGCGGTTTGTGCCGGAAACTTCTGCCCTGCCATTGCCGTCAGAATAAAAACGACTGTAGGCCCTCGACTGGAGGCATGACTGAGGAAATGGCAGAGGGGCGACGAAGCTTGTGTGGGAGTGTTCAGAGAACGAGGAAAGGTAACATCGATCCCACACAACCGGATCCTCATCAGGATGAGCGAGACCGCTGGTGAAAGGAATCCTGGTTATCATAACCAGGTCATTCTAGTACCGCTCTTAATTCAATCAGTGCAGGGTTTGCTCACTTTTCTCCATCATAAGAGCGTTCCTTGTAGACTTGACGCAAGATGCTTCAATGAGACGGATGACTCGAGATGCACACGCACAGAACGGATTTTGGGATCTGGCCAGACTAGTTGCAAGCCCTCAGGTTGAAGGGTTTTGGAGCTGGGGTTCTGAGGTTGCGAAGATTTTGGTGATCGGTAGAATGAGAAGAGAGTGCACAGTCATGCAGAAACTGCAGCAGCATAGCCAGAAAGGACTGTTGGGAAAGGGGCATGCCCAAGCTCAAGCAGAGACACACACACACACACACACACACACACTTGTACCGATCGGCAGCTTGGACAAACCCTAAACGCTGAACCCTTATTCTGGGCTATGGGTTGTTCTGAACCCGGGCTCCCGTGAAGGTACCGATGTGAACACAAAAGCTTCTGCGAAGCAGAGGGACCTGCAACTCTGAGATCCCTTTGAGTGGATCTCCGGCCTTCATCGAAATCGATGCCAGAAGCCTCTTCGCCCTCCGAAAGAGAGAGCAGAATCCAGGAGAGAAGAGCAGAATCCAGTTCAGTGAAGATCATCTCTCTCTCTCTCTCTCTCTCTCTCTCTCTCTCTCTTCATAAGTCATCTGGGGCTGTAGCAGTGGAACCCCATATTTCAACCCTAAATGCCTGGACATTCAGAATTCAGAATTCGGTGCTCCTGGACCAACTCTGTTCCCAAACAGGACCCTATGCTGTACATGACTGGATGAAACACCACCTCAAATCCTCTGATTTCACTCCGAATGCACAGAAGAGGTAACATGAAGGACACCACTAAGCCTGATGCACCAGCCCAAGTTCTACTTACAAACATATCGCGTAACCTCGCAAGTGCTAGTGATGGTTCGTTTAGAGGCGCCTCTGTATGGCATTGCTTGTTGTGTTTGCATCTTCACCGTCTGCTCACACTCTGACCTCCTCCGAGCAAAACACAAAGTTGCAGGCCTCCAAGTTGAGCAGGAGAAGCTCCACACGTGACGCAGCCTCGAGCGGGCCCCACAAGACAGACTAACATCTGCTGATTTCAGTACATGGGCCCTTTGGCAAACCATGAAGGAGGATTACGTATAAGCTATACAATGAAGAATCGTCGGCTCGATCCACAGCCGGCTTCCACAGCAACAACAACGAGAAGACACTCAACCACAAATATCGGGGCTACCGGCCCGGCAACACATCACCGCCGTTACAGCACTGACTCGCCCGCAATAACCATCACCCACCATTTAGGACTGAGCACCCCGAGATGAATTGACAAGTTTTGCCAAACCAGCAATACCTTAAAGAATGCAAATCACAAGCCCACTGCGAAATTCAAGCCGGCTTCGGTCAGCTCCGCATGGGCCGGCAGGCCCTCTGCCTGACATGACGGTTTAGGGCAGGCTTAATGGTTCTATAATGTACAACAAGTTAACAAGTGTTTCTTCAAGGATTCTAAAAGGATACCCTGAGGGTGATTTAAGGGGGCAGTTGCGCTTGAGAGGCTTTGGGCTCGTAGAGTCTAGGATATAGAGCTATTGGGCATCAGGGTTCAAAGCTTTGGCTTCTTGGTGCGGCCTAGACCGTTCAGGCCTCTCTTGAGCGCTAGGCTTTGGAGTCAGAGCTACAGATCCTTGGAGTTTCGGGCCTTATAGCTCACGGCTTCAGGGCTTCAGGGTCGAAGGCTTTTGGCAAAGCCTTTGCTCTGGCGTGGTGACTTCAGGCCTCTGTCCAAGAAGAACAGCTTTGGGATTTGGGGTTCGGTTTAGAGTGTAGAGCTTGTGAGCCTTAAATCGGGACCAGCCAAAAGCCTTAAACCTTACTATCGGGATGAGAATAAGAGCCAGCATCAGGGAGCACACCTTACATCCTTTGAATTAGACTACAAATCAAGTGGAAATCGCTGTCAGACCCAATAATAAATGATGAGCACCATCTCTAAACGCTTCCAGAATCACTGAACAGTCTGGAGGCCCGTACTAGCCTCAACTAAATCCTTAACAAAGCCTGCAAAGACTGTAGGCTGCTGTAAGACATCCCAAGAAACAGCTCTCGCCTCCCAGGCTTCTCGAGACGTCTTGAGCCCGTGCTCTCGGAGCAGCGCGAGGGCTCTTGTGGAGGCCCAAAGCGCTTCCTCCAATCACTACCGGATTTAAGTATTCCTCATGTCTCCTAGGTTTGTAATGGCTTTCAAGAGCTTTACAAGCTTATAGACTCTTGTAGATCTTGTACAAGGACCAAGAAGTTTCAGAAAGGCATTGTAAGGGTTCTGCAATACTTTCTACAGTACCTTCTCGGAGTCCCGGGCTTCGGAGTGGAGGCTTCAATCCAAGCACAGAACTTCTTGTAGCTTCTTGTTAGCTTTTGATGTGGTTTTTCTGATAAAGTTTCTTATGGTTCCTTGTTGAAGGCCTATTTAACAGGGCCTTAAAGACATAGAGCCATTCGTGGCTTAGGCTTCGGATGTGTTGAGGGCTACATCGGTTCGGGGGGATGGGGTGTTGGGTTCTCGGCCTATTGGTTCAGGATGTGCGAGTTAACGGCTTACGGTTTAGGATGAGTTGCAGATCTGGGACTTTTGGATTACGGCTATTAGGGCTTTCGCTTCGTCCGGGCTTAATGTTTGTAATCGCCCTGCCCAAACTATCATGGAACATACAGAAGCACAGACTACCTGACTGCAGTCCGGAGTCCTTTCTTTATGCACCGTAAACACTATGGCCTAACCCTAACCCCTCTAAGGTTCTGTCGGTACGCGGTTCAGTCTCATCGCTGCAATCCCAAGACTTCCTCCGCCTCTACTGTTTCAAAATCGGATGCGGGATTTGGGCTTTTTGTTTCGGCTTGAAGGTGTAGGGAGCCCTTCACCGTGATATAGACCACAATTCCGTATCCTTCACTTGCGGCCCCAAATCTCCCGGCCTGCTTAGGAACCCCAAGTGTGCAAGCCCGGAGGGCTGCATTGCGGGTGCTGCGTGTCCTTTGGCCACTGCGAGGTTCTCTGCTTTTCGGGCAGTAATGGCTGATGGTTCAAGTTTCCGATCGAGCTTTGTGGGGTTTTCAAGGTCTTGGGGCAAGTGACACAGAGCACGAATTTTCGGGTCCAGCTGTCCAGGGGTTTGGGCTCTCGGGGGCAACCGGTCCTCTGATCCCTGCAACACCGCTTCTTGTTGGCCAGGAAACCTTCTCAAACCAGAAGATTGTCGCGATCCCCAACTCCCAAGCATGGGAAACCAAACACCGTGCATCCCGTTTCTGTCTTCCAACTTTGATAAACAATAAACAATCCTTGGGAGACTGTAGCGACTGTAAAGTCTCTACCTGATTCGGCCCCCTTGGTCCGGATTCCTGGTGAAGTGGAGTGGTCGAAGCTGTGCCGGCTAAGGAGTGGCCTTACGGTTTCAAGGTAAAACAAAACCACCATGGCCTTATGATCATAGAATTCGATGATGTCGCGGTAGACTAGGGGCTCATGGTGTTGCATAGCAACGTCCCCTTGAAGTTGACAAACCTTTAGGTCCAGAGAAGCGTACTTAGTCGAGAATCTACGAACTACTTGCTTGCCTTCCTAAACGCCCCACAGGAACTGATTCATGTCTTGGCTCCCTCATTCCCTACTACGCATACCAAGATCCACCGTACACTTCCAAAGCTAGGAGCCCGCACATCGGAACGGACTCCGCTGCCATCTCCTTCGGCAGGAACCCCCGATCCGTACTCCCCACCTTCCCAAGCACTCAATGAGTTGTGAGGCTTAAGGGTTATTGGAGTTCATATATACGGAAAATGTGTATATATGTATGTGTATATATATATATATATGTAATATATATATACATATATCATATGTATGTATGTATGCTCTAACATGCAGGCATTCTCTCAAGCCACGAGTCAAGCAGTGGAAAGCGCATGAGTCAAGGGTTGAAGAGTTTGCGGTTTCTGGCGTTCCGGAGTTTGCTGGATTTCTAGTTCAGGGTCTGGGCTGTTTAAAGTCTGCGTGCAACAACACATGCTGCACCCGGTCATACCGACACGGGAGCTTCTCAACGTCGGCGGCCCTGGCAGAGGCCCTCCATGTTGAGAAAGAACCTCCCGCAATCCCGGAACCAACCTAGCATCCATGGAAGAAACTCAAAAACAGCAATAAATCCTTCGCAAAGAGACTGCTAAGTTTGAGACGTCTCTCATCGCTTAAACCCTGCTCCACAACCTGCTGGTGTGCTCTTTGACCTAGTAAGTACGGTATGTCAGGTGTGTTATGGATTGTCGTGGATATGAAGTAGACTTACTACACATTAGAAACTTTTGAAGCTCTTCCAAACTTGAGCCCCCAACCCAAGCCACGGAAACCCACCTGTGGCTCCAATGACATACTACTCTAAGGGATAAAAAACCCTACAATGTAATTGAATAAGGGGCCATAGCCTACTATTGTATACGGCTTGGGCTCTCAGTCTCAGGTAACCCTTGACCCGTAAACCCAGCCACATAACGCGTGAACCTCCTGAGGAACTAGAACGGCACTAGAACTAAAACCCCAAAACTCCAAGGCCGCAAGCCATTCATTCCCTCCTCCAGGAGCGCCAGTGCACCTCCCCAGCTCCTGGAAGGTTTGGAACAGCGGGTCAGGGGGTCTAGAGGGGTTGGGTTCTTCTGAAAATTTGGATCAAGGTGTTGGGTGTCGGGGTTGCAGGTTTTGAGGGTTTACGGCCTGGGATGTCGGGTTGGGCTCGGATAGCGCAATTAATCTGCCGGATTGGGGCCTCGCAGTCAGAAGACTCGCTGTCGACTCCATACCTATGCGTAGGTATTGCGATGGACTTCTTTCTTCTGTATGACCCACAGTTGCATGGCTTGCGTGGTATACCCTTGATACCATGCTACAAAAACTATCATGGCGGAACCGCAAAATCCAAAATCTGACTGTCATAGTCACCTGGAAGGAGACCTATCATCTACAAGCTCTCCAAGGAGTGACAAAAAAGGGTCTGAGCCTAGGCATCTGACTGTTGACGGACAGCAACGTGAAATACTTTGACTGCCGTAAGCCATGGGAAATTGTGAAACTTCTTCGTACGACTGTGCATCAGCAACATCATCCAAATTCGCGGGTCGTTATCTTCAGCCATGAATACCCAGACTACCCATTCAGCCATCACGAGTTGTTGGGTGTCGCAGCACTGCAAACACGTAACTGGCTTACTTTGGCTTCGATATCATGTCTCCTGCCCACGGCCACAGCGTAGAGCGCAGCATTGTAGGCAGAGCTGCCGATTGTGATGCCCTCATGAGCTTTTGCCTCATCAGGTCCCTCATCGAATGCAAGAGTATGGGTAGTTTTGTTCCGATAGAGGAACTGCTGACATGAGAGCTACAAGCCTGAATGGGCAACCCAGCTGCGCATTGAACAACTTCATGATGCGAGAAGGTTCACGGAGTAAAGAAGTACGGGCTGTCCGAGGCATGGGACTTGATTCGGGTCTGAGGGCTCCGTGTTCAGGGCTTTAGGGTTTTGGGATGTGGTTTTCTAGAGTTTCAGTGAATGAGTTCTATAGAATTCAGAACTTCGGGTTTGGAGGCTCAGGACCACAAACTGAAAAGCCCCACCAAGCGTAACCCCAGCCCAATTCCTAAACCCTATAAATCTAAAACTCCCACATCCTGAGCTCTATTCTGCACCCTAAGGACCTCACTCCATGCAACTCCGATCCACCGAAACCCTGGAGCTGAGAAGCTGGCCTGTCGAAAGACCTCCACAGAAGCCTCCAACAAACCGCAGAATGGGCTGCACTGTAGGGGTCTGACGACTTCAGGTGCCAGGCTAGTTGTAAGTTTTTGAGGGTGCAGGCGTTGAATTAGGCCAGTTTCAGGAGTTTGGGCCTGTCTGGAGTATGGGCTGTTCAGGGCTCAGGGATCTGGGGCCTTTCCATTTGGAAGGGCTTTAGAGTTTCGAGTCATTCTGAAAGGGCTCCGAGGAGGCTCTGAGGAGTCCAAGCTTGCACTCCAGGATCTCAAGTGAGCCCCAGGTGCAGCCCCAACATCTCGGGAACAAGTCGGCTTTGACGATGCAATCTCTTGGTGCCGCCCTTTGAAAACCATAGGCAATGGGAGCCAGAGGTAGATAGGGAAATGTAGAAAAAAGGGTGTGAGAATAGAGACCCCAGAAATGTGAGTTCTCTCACTACTGCAGACAAGGACATCTATGCAAGGCAAATGGCCACATGGAAGCTTCTATACTGTAATTCGTCGTACTAAATTTTTTAAGGCTCCTTATCATGACTGCAGAACAATATGCCCACCCCCTTACTCCATATACAGCCCCCCCGGAAGATTCTTCCAAAGCTTTAAGAAAACCCCTAGGTGTCGGTGCCTGCCAGCTGCTTCCTTGAAAACAGCCGCGGATCGTCAACGCGGCCTTGCCAAGGGACTCGGATCAGGGCTTGAAAGGATTCTGGGGATTAGGACTTATAGGGTTTAAGGGATGTTGGGGAGGGCTTTGGGATTCTAGGGTTTAGGACTTAGAGATTCTAGCGAGTAGGATTTAGTCTTCGTTGTAAGGCATGTAAGGCTTTGGGATTGTAGGGTTTAGGGCGTTTAGGGAATGTAGGGTTTAGGGCGTTTAGGGTTTAGAGATTGTAGGGTGCAATTTTCAGGGATCAGGAATTCAAGGGATTCGGATGCTGGATCCATGATAAGATAGTAATCAGATTTCGCAGCATCCCCGATACTCGAAGCAATGCAAGCGTTCTGGATTAAGCAGTGAGACGCAGCTCTCCACGGTTTGGGATTGAGGCTCGGGCTATTCAGTTGCGATCCCGAAGCTTTCTGCTGATGCTGTTAGGATGCAGGTGCCTTAGCCATGCTTGGGGCCGAACGCTCGCCGCATCGGGGGCTGGTGTAGATGATCCTTGATTCGGGTATTGAGGGTATACAGGGTTTCACAAGACTTTAGAAGGCGATGCAAGACAGGCTTGCACGGCTTGAAGGGTTACCAGACTGCACATTAGAGACTGTAGAAACCCTCTAGAATTGAATGCGGTGTGCTTCTGTAACGGGGTATGTACCTCTTTGGGTAATGCGGGAAGTGGTGTGGACTCTGAGTCGCCCTAGGGCTTTGACAGGCCCTAAAAATCCTGAAAGCCAATCTCTGACTTAGATCTCTCATTCACAGCTCCCCTCTGTGCTGTGCGGTACTCTAAACCGCATTGACAAGAGGGGTGACCCGCTGCATGGACGCGCACCTTGACACTCATAAATGTATGCAATCATCAGAACTGTCACCTTCATCTTCATCACAGTCTCCAGCAGCATCGTCATCCTGGTCCCTGATCTCTCGTCATCCGCAGAGTTCAAGCTCCTTTCTGCTTTCGCGAAGGCGGCTGCAAAGATGCGAGCGCTAGTGGCCAATGCCACGTCTGGCGAGCATGGCATCGGAATAAACACGCCTTGTACATATAAGCAGGGCGGTCGGTTTCTGAGCACCCTGAACTTCAAACCCCAAACTCCAAACCATGAAGAAACCCCAAACCCTGACATGACAAGTCACCTTCTCTGATCATCAGCATGGCATCGGAATAAACACGCCTTGTACATATAAGCAGGACGGTTTCTGAACACCCTGAACTTCAAACCCCCAAACTCCAAACCATGAAGAAACCCCAAACCCTGACATGACAAGTCACCTTCTCTGATCATCTCATGCCAAAGCGCGACTGCCTTCTCCCAGGCCTCATGCTAGAAGGTCATGGGTTACGCTTTCCCTGCTGTGGCTGTGTGTGCTTGATGCTTGTTTGTGTATCTAAGTGTGTGTGTGTGTGTTCACGTATCTGTGTGTTTCTGTCTGCCTGCCTGCCTGCCTGGCTGGAGCTGTCTGTGTGCGCACGCGTGGTTTGATTGTGAGAGGGACAGAGAGAGAGAAAGAGAGAGAGAGAGGAAAAGATTGAACGAAAAAGAGAGAAGGAGGAGATAACAAGGCGGGCAAGTTTATATAGCAAAATCGAGAAGGATTGACTGCGTGACGTTGCTGAAACGCTTGGGAGCACAACCAACCATCGTTCAGAATACCAGCGCAAGCCATCAAGCTTCCGAAGAACCCGAAGCCCCACACTTCTTAACCCCGCACCAAAGATCCTGACCCTTCAAAAGGCCGAAGCCGTCAGAGCGTGCCTCAGCCCTTCCACAGGCCGAGAGGAGCGAGTTGTACACCTCGTCGGATTGCTAAACTGGGAGGTGCTGCAAGGCTCAAGACTCAGTTCGGAGTTCTGAACGAGAGCTTTCTGCGGTTCAAGAGCATATTGCTTTGTAAGTCGGACTAATGTACCATGGGATGTCTACACTTCAGCAAAGCCCAAACATTCAGCCTGCAGCCAAGACGCGGATGGAGGCGTGTCTGAGGACTCCTCAGCCGATAGCTCTCTGTGCTGTGATGCCCTGGTACATTGCGGGGTTTCATAGTGCTTAAGCAGATTTTGTCTTCCTATACCGACATCCTACATAACCCCTAACCTTCAAGCCAAAGCGTGTAAAACCGAGTTGTACCCTGCCTTCACCTTGCACGTGACCGTACTGGATAAAATCGATGTACGGATCGACTACCAGCTTTCGCTTTCCCCTGTAAGTTGTTCCACCTCTTGTTGAACAGGGGCTAGGTAACGGTCACGGTGTGCATCGGGCTGGGGTGTAGGGGTTCAGGGCTTCAGGTTTCTGCCCTAAACCAAGCTGCTCGCCTTGCTTCCAGCTCGTCAAACAGGGAGGTAAAAGGATGTAGATTCGCACTCGCAAGGTAAACGTGCCAGGACGAACATCAAATGCCAGAGGCATGACAGTGCTACACTACGACTGCCTAGTTCAGTTGTGGTCCAATACTGTATACAGTAGCTCTCGTTCCAAATATGCTCTGCATCATTGTCAGCTTCTTGTAGTACCTTGAATACTCATCTCGGGCATTCACCTAAACCCTACAGTCATTAGACATCGTTAAGCCCTGTGGTTTCGGGATTGCAAATTATCCTCGGATTTCGCGTTCAGGACAAGTGCATAACACTGTGGCATGACATGAAGCAACTGTCGGAGAACTGCCCTCGTCGTGATTTTAGCCTCGACGAACGGAGCCCAGACCCCAGTCTCGAACCCCGAAGCAATGAAGCCCATTGCAGTAATAAATCTAGGCTCGCGGCAACCGTAAGACCTGAACTCCAAACCCTCCACACTCGGAGAAGACGGTCCTCCGGGCGAGCTGAGAAGATGACGAGTGCCCATTCCTTTAGCTCGTTCTTCGGTCTTGTTGGGGCTCGGGATAGGGTTCATCATGCAGGGTCTGGGCTTTCAGGGACTCGGGACTTCGGGGCAGCTGCGCTACAGGGGTTGGGGCTGTTCTATTCTGCAGTTTCGGGGCTTCTAACGTAACGACTTAAGTGTGTCTTTCTTCAGTTTTGTATCTTTCGTCAGGTCCAGCACCCCAAGACTCTAAGGTTTAGGGTTCAGGGGAAGAGGTTTGGGGTGTTCCCCGGTGTCTTTCTGAATCATGTGCGAGACAAGGCCTGTAGGATGCTGACTATTGCAATCGACCTTATTTCCACTTTCCTTCCAGGTGGACACATCGTTCCAAGCAGGGAGATAAGCGGCGTGCATGAAGTATGTACTAATGCTTGTTGTTGTCTCCATTCTGCACGACTAGCACTTAATGATTTCTAAGTATATACCTTCTTCCAGAAAAGCTCTCCTAAGGGGATTCGGTCTAGGTCTAGGTCAACCCTGCCGATCCTCATGAATGCAACCACTGACACGAGCTCAGGTCAGGAACACACTGCGACACACGCTTCGACACATTTTCGGGATTTCGGCGCTGGTCGGCAAGCTCTCGAAGTGGGCATGTCACAAGGCCTTCAAATCTTTCAGCGCCCCATTTGCACCTACGTGGTAGATCTACTCAGCCAAAGGTGGAACATATCAAGCCGAGGTACCAAGATGTTGCAGGAAGGCCCCTTCAAGAGACCACATGAAGCATAAGAATATACATGGAGGCCTGTGCGATTTATGTGGACTGTCGTGCACCTCTGCAGGACCATGAAGACAATCGTAGCTCGGCCGTCGCCGATGCACACAAATGAAGCCATGGGGTCGACGGCTGGCGCTGGCCGTGGTGGCAGTAGGACAGTAGCGTGGGTCAGTGGAAGTCGGGTCGATGCTTGCGTCAACAGCAAGCGGTCATTTCAGTTTCTCTTGCATGATCAGCACCAACATCGTCATCAACACCATTATGGCCATCATGCTCCTCCTCCTCCTCGTTCTCCTCTTCACATCGATACCATCGGCAGCATCAGCCGTAACAAGAGGAACCTTCTTCTGCTTAATCCAAGCAGACCCAAACCTTAAACTAGAGACCCGGAAGCTGCAACCCTGAGCCCCTGAACCCCAAACCCGGAACCTGAACTCGACTTGGAACATGCCCAGCGTGGCCGAAAACCTTCCCGGCTTTGCCGGGCCTCAACCGAGGATGGCGGCTTGGGCTTGGGGAGCGAAACCCCAAAGGGGCCTGGGGCTCTTAGGACTTGCGGCTAAGGTTTCAGAATGACAGACACACTGAGAGCCAAATACCACTTAATTCAGGAATATACCTTGAGCTGCAGACAGATCTGGGCCACCATGCTTCCACGATTTACTTAGCTATTTGGATGTTGATAGATTCAGCACGTGGGGAAGCGCGATCCTTACCTGCAGCTCTCAGCACTCTATTCCGCACCCTACGACAGTTTTATACAGTCGTGGGAATGTCTGTGTACATGTATATATATACACAAATACATACACGTGCAGATAATTATGTGTATATCTATATATATATATACGAAGATGTATACATTTTCATATGTGTATATAATGCTTAGACATGGACAGAGAGTTGGGTCACGCGGCTGGGGCTTCCAGCAAATCCAGGCATTAGGGCTTAAGGTTAAATCCTCTCAGGCTTCAGGGTTAGGTTAGGGTTTCTGGGATTTCGGACAGCTTCTGTCTAGTTCGAAGGGTTCGGAGGGTAGGGGTTTAGAGTGACTCTCCACTGCCGGGGTCCTCAAGTTCGGGGTCTAAAGCAAGAGGTGCGGCCAGTCAGTATACGTGATCGATGCTTCGGGGCATGTACCGATGTCAGAAAAGCCCCCCCAGTTCAACCCCTGCCTGTCTAAAGAAACATGGCAACACAGGCGCCCAAACGAAATGCAGCATTGTATGTTTACATCCCCTGGTTGCCGGTTGAGCTGTTCGAGATTCTACCAGGCTTGGCTATGGGGCTTGCCCACGGCTTTTCACGGGTCGTCTTACAGCGGACGGTATAAATAGCTAAAGTGCGGTTTTGTTCTTTCCGTCAACTAGTATACACGAATTTGGATGACCGACAGCACATATTCCAATCTCGACTGGCTATGGAAGCGCCTACAACATGATATGCTAGAAACTCTGAAAACAACACCTTAATCAGATCCCAGTTTCCTTAGACCTAAGCCCCCTCGAAACCCCAAGTCCAAGATGGGACTTTCCCACATATACACACAGAAGCAGCTTTTTGCTTGCTTCATGAAGAGATTCCGACAGCCTAGGGTCCAAGTGCTTAAATTGTATATGCCGGTACAACTCGAATATGTGAAAGGTCTACACTGCAAGTACTTGGACCCATAGGGATAGGCATCCACTCAGCTTTGCTGAGGGATATCTGGCAGCTCCTGTCCACCTCGTGGAATACCAGTAAGTAGCTCTGCAGAGCCTGCCTAGTAGCGAATCTGAAGGTTACGCGTTTATAGGTCTTTGGGGTTTGGGGTTGGAGGTGCAGATTTGAGGGCTTGGGTTGTTGAGTTCCTGGGGTGTGTTGACAATATCACTCTTCAGTCCAAGTCCGGGAAGAGGTCGAAAGAGATCACCAGGGCAGCTTTGTTCAGACCTGCGATGTCAGTGTCGCAAGGTATCATTTCAGAAGCCGAACGGTCTAAGTATCTAACACACTCCCCCAAACGCGAACCTATAACTACTAGTGGTATTCGCAGAAATTACACCCCAAGCAGCAAAGCACATCTTCAAAACCTATAAGACTCCCTACGCAATTCTTGGGTAGCTTGGACCTGGGAAGATCATTGACTGAACCCCTCAGTCTCAAAGCCCAAAGGTTGCGCTCATTAAGGTTCAAAGCTGCCTAAACAGAGCCACAACTAAGGTCAATGAATCCCTTTACGGCAACAGTGCGGAGGTTCACGGGGAAGGATTGGGGGGTTGTATAGTACAATGCCAAGAAGGACATGCAGTATGTATGGGTGCATTAGAAGCTCAGTTTTCGGGCTTACCGAAGCCTCAGCAACCGGAGAATGGTGATTGGTTTCAACTGTCTCCTTTGAAGCCCTTTGGCAAAGTAGCCTCCTACAAAGACAACACTTAGATAACACGCGGCAACCGCGTCATTGTTCGCCTGACTCTTCATGTATAGGCTTTTAAGTTTTGTGCTTGCGAGAGCCTGAACCCTTGAGTTGCATTACCATGGCCACAGGTATTGACATTGCGTAGTTTAGGGTTGGAAAGTTTGAGCAACTTACCGAAGCTTCAAGCCACAAAACCGACAACCTCGACCCAACCGTCAGTAATAAACAAGGAGACAAGCCATGCACGAACCTGTCTTGCCAGGCTTGCCCACAGCTGCGACCTGCGACAGGTCCACGCCCATGACCTGGGAAAGTCTACTTCAAAGCACAGGAAGGTTTAGTGTTGAGACTTCCCGGTCTACTTAGGGTATAAGGTGAAGTCTTGAGGGTCTATAGATTTCAAGCATGAAGGGAGATATGTATAGCTTCTTGACAGGTGGTGTGCAAGCGGCCCTCGTTCTTCGTGGTCGGATTTGGGTTTTGGCTTTGGGTTCAGTCAGCATCGAGGTTCTGGGAAACCTTACCGTCTCCAGTTTCTGGCTTAACTTGGGCTCAAGGTTGAGGTGTGAGGGATGATCTGTTGGAGCCGCAGTCGGGGCATGGCAAATTGTCTTTCGACGTGCTGCTACAATTAATGCGTTCCCAGAAGGTCCAACGTTCTATGAAATGTTTTACCATCATACATGTTCTCACAGGCTTGGAACAAATGTTTCCCTAGGCGATGGCAGCAACGGTGTAGGGCTTACAAACACGGGCCAAAGAACTGAGGCTCAGACACCCATAGTCGCAGCGCAGAGTGCAGCCTGTAAGTTCGGCTTTCTGATGCTTACATAGGGCTTCAAACGGAAAATCATTCAAACTTGGAGTGCCTTATTTAGTAGATTCCTGGTAGTAAGAATACTGCTTGGAAGTCGACTCCCTTCTGACTCTGTCAAGGATTCGATGACCCATGATTAGGGAACCGGCGTCAGGAGAATCTTTCGGTGATTAGGGGCTTCAGCATTCGTGTTATCGTGTATAGGATTTGATCCGATGCAGGTTTCATAGTAGCGGCCTTCTTTGCTCAGAAGCTGCAGGCAGAGGCTAATCCTCTCATCCAGCACTTCTTCTCGAAAGTCGCTGCTGATCTTTCCTTCAAGCAAACCAGAAGCCTCCACATGCCTTGGGGCTTTGCTTTGGGGTTGAGGTTTGCTGTGGTTCAGGGTTTGGGGTTGGGATGCAGAGTCCAGGGTCTTTTCCCCAAAAAAACTGAACATGCAAAGTATCTTCGTACTGCGAACCTGGACACTTCAAGGCACTGCCGAGATGCCCGGCTGTTCGCCACGCTTTGCCAGAACTCGTCTGTCCCGACACCGATGTCTTTGGTGTGCCCTTCGATAACCTAGGCTGCTCTGAAAAGCCAAAAAACCTCAAAACCTTAAGCCCGAAACTCACAAACTCCAAAACTCCTGACTAGAAGCCAGTCTCGAACAGCGAGTCCGGGATACCCTAATGCCCTGGAGCCCTCAAGATTAGCCCGGTGACGATGGAGACCTTGAACATCTGCCAAAGCTCGCAGAGATCTGTCAGGATTTCCTCGGGGCTGCAAACACCAAAGAACAATCTGGACGAAGGGAATTCATCTGGATTTCTTCAAAGGACGAGGCACGAAGTTCTGCAGTACTACAGGCACATCCGTTGCAAAGTATGAAGCCGACTCAGTGAAATTGCGTCTAGTCTCCCAGAATCCTACGTCACCCATGCCGAAGCAGATCAGCCTGCATGATGAGGTTTAGGCTAGGCTTTAGGCTCTAGAAGCTGTACGGTCCACGTCCAAAAGCAATGCTTCAACTGGCCATAAAGGAGCAAGCACTCCGAAGCTG